GAATTAAAATTATTACTTGGCGCTCTAGGCGCCCTGTATGAGGGCACAGGTCGCACACCCTAACGGCCGGCGTTGCTCCGGGTGGCACTTTTATCTGTATATTGAGGGCGGCCTTTTCAGCAAACTGCAGTTAGTTTGTTTGTTTTGTGGAAGGGGAAGAGAATTTTTTCGGGACGCCCTGGTGGCACTTACCTTAGCTACGCCACTATGTGGTAAGGGTCACTTTGCTTCTATGCTTGAATGGGATTGTGACTTTAAAACCTGTGAACTGGAGCTTAGTAATTCAGTGCAGTTGACTATATTGTACATGTCTTGGCCTTTAGTGACGTTCCGACATTAAAAGAAACAAGAAAATTGTATTTTAAAAGTTTGGACCTGGGATTTATAAAATAAAAATAAAAAAGTTCAAATAAAAAAACCATGACATCTTAAATCGTTATGGCACATGTGTGTCCAAATATTAACAATTATATTTGTGGTTACACAGACAACTCTTCTGTCTGTGAGGCGTCATTTTGAACAAAAATATAATTTGGATAATATATTAATGTTTCTATTCATTTATGCTTAAAAATCAGATGTAGTAGATATTGTCCACGTCAAGTTAAATTTTTGTTGATTTCACTTTAACTTTACTTGTCACATCTCACGACTAACCAGGACATAGTGTTTAAGTTTTAAAAAATGTAATAGGGTAACCTGTGCCTTCAAAGTGGTGTATGTACATGCAGGTTAGGGTACACTACAAAAATAGGGAGGTATGGTATATTCATAGAGCGAATGAGTAGGGTAGGCCTAACGATCCGAAATATTTAAGTCAAGAAAACGCTGGCCTAAACTTGTGGAAATCGTTACATGTACCGCGGCGGTAAACACAACCTTTTGAACGTTGTTTAGGTGTACCGCCGCGGTAAACGTATTTTTAACAAAGTGCCATTGCCAAAAGTTACATACTGGGGTCAAGGTGAGCAGATCAACTCTTCCTTCGTTTTATAATATTGAATTAATATTCGAAAGTTAGTCATGCATAACTTTTTTTTGCAATATGTTTTGTGTAACTGTGTGTAGTGTTGCATGTCTAAGCCTAACAGCAGTTCAGTAAATTAAGTAACGCTTACGTCGTTACGTTACATAACTGATTACTCACTAACTCATTTTCTGTTAAGCATTAGGTAAACAACATACTTAATCATTAATCATAGTCATAGCATAGAATCATGAATCATAGTCTATCAAAAAATCATAGCCGTAGACGTAGAGTGTATAAGTTAATAAGTGCTCAGATGAAAAGGAGTAAGAGGACACACACACTCACACTTTTCATCAAATCCGGTTTTAGTGCTACGCCAATGTTAAGTGGTGTACAAATAAAAGTAAAGTTAAAGTTTAACTTGAAATACATAAAATGATGTTGTCTTATTGTAAATATTATTCTAAGTAGTTTTAATTATAAACTTATATTAATATTATTATTAGTATTAGATTACACTGACTGACAGATTTTTGCGTGCAATATCAGAATCAGCTGCTGAACAACTTGACCAAATTTAAATTAAATTTGGTTTTGCATCACTACCTTATCAGCAGAGAGCAACAGAAGAGATGCAATAGGCAATTGGAAATTAAAGTTCCATTAGACAAGTGTTTCTCAAACTGCGGTCCTTAACTCTCTAGGGATCGTGAAGTGGTTTCAGGGAAACAGTGAATGGGTCTCTTAGTTAAAATTTTGGGCTATTGCCCCCTATTGGCAATTGTTGCTGCTGGTTGCTATGGCTATTTCCTGTGGAGGAATCTCATTTAATTCTTGTGAGACTTGGTATTGACAGTATTGTAATTAAAGTTTGAGAACAACTAGTATAGTGCAGTGGTTTAGAAACACTGCTTTCTTGGAATCCAGGAGCATGTGCATAGAAGGTTTAGGCCCACTGTGTTCCCAGAAACCTTTTGCATATCTCCCAACAGCCAGCGTGTCAATTTTTTAAAACTAAGAGCTTAAATTAGAGCCAACCAGAGGATAGAACCGTGGGTTGGACGGAGCATACGTCTCCAAACTCTCTTCATGCAGACTTAATTTTAATAGTCATTTAAGAATTTTTTCACAGAGCATAAAGGCAGGTCTAAAAGCCTCCTATGACATGAGGTTTGAGGAAAATAGCTACCGCCATGAAACCCCACAGCATTACAAAACAGTTGATATTACCATGCCGCAAAGAAATATTGAATGTGCTGGGAAGTTCTGAATTTGAAAAGCTTAAACATGCAGGAGTTACGGATACCCAACAAACTGATGAGGCTAATAAATGTAACACTTAACAACTCAAAAAGCAAAATCAAGATTCAAGGAGAATATTCAAGGGAATTTCAGATTAGACGAGACCTAAGACAGGGAGACTCACTGTCATGTATGCTTTTTAACCTGACAATAGAGAGAGTTTTGAGAAGCACACACATTGACACTCGAGGAACGATAACAGGATACTTTCTGAGGGAAACTCGAGACCCACAACCAACGGGCACACTCTACAACCAACCACTTCAGTATCTTGCATATGCTGATGACATAGCACTGCTAGGGAAATGTATTAAAGACGCATCAAAATCCTTTATTGAATTAGAAGACGCATCTCTACAAGCAGGGCTGGAAGTTAACAACCTAAAAACAAAATACATGACCATAATAAGAGGAGAACAGGTGAAGCAATTAAAATGAGAAAACACACTTTTGAAAAAGTAAATCAATTCAAATCTTTGATCTTTGTTAAATGAAAGAAATGAATTACTAACAGAAATAAAAGAAAGAATATCAGCCGGAAACAGGGCATACTTCAGTAGTCAGAAAATGCTCAAAAGTAAAAACATTACAAGAGAAACAAAGAAAACTATTTATAAAACTGTAATCAGACCAGTTTTAACATATGCAAGTGAAACCTATGAAGCACTTGGAAGAAGAAAGTTCTCAGGAAAATATATGGGCCAACAAAGGATAAATATGGATGGAGAATACGAACCAACCATGAATTATACAGTCTATATCAGGGTCCCACGATAGTAGCAGAAATAAAAAGAGGCAGGCTGCGCTGGGCAGGACACCTAGAGAGAATGCCAAATGACAGAAGAACGAAGAGGGTGCATCACCAATACCCCAGAGGAAAAAGGCTCAAAGGCAGACCTAGGCTTAGGTGGATGGATGATGTGGAAAAAGATCTACAGCAGCTGAAAGTTCAAGCATGGAAAAGAAAGGCATTAGGTCTGAGTGGAAGGAAGTGGTGAGGTAGGCCAAAGCCCTACATGGGCTATAGCGCCACAGGGATGGATGGATGGATAAACATGTTCCCTATCAAATGATATCGTAAAGAGCGAATGGTGAAGATGTCTAATAACATACTGTCGCAGTCGGTCTTGAATATTCAATTTTCAACTTCTTTGCGATCCTGCTTGATAAAATGATGGATGGGGCCAACTTAGCCCAATTTTTTGTCTGCATACGATATACATATGCCAATGAATCACCTGGAAGGTGAAAATTAGGTGATTATTTTGTTTTGCAAAACTCTCAGCACCAGAACAACTGCAAAAGAAATATCTGACTAAATGGACAGATTCTTTGAGGTTTTCAAATGGGAACATGTCATTGGCATGTGTACCGACAGTGCTCCAGCTGTGCTTGGTTGCCATTCTGTTTTTCACGCTTAACCTAAGTTAAGCAAAAACCCCAAACATTATTGTTACACCCACCATTCATCACCCAGCCTTAATGGTGAAAACCATGCCTGATGAGAGGAAAATGTTATCAATGAAGTGATTACAGCAGTGAACTTCATTAAAGCAAATGCACTCAACTCTCATTTTATTTCTGAATTACGCAAAGAAAGTGATCATGCATTTCAAACACCCTTGTTGCACTCCCAAGTGATATGGCTGTCCAAAAGGGAAAGTTTTGAAGAGAGTTGTCATACTACATGAAGCAATCCAGCAACTTTTGCAATGTGCTAAATCAAAATGCAAAATTCACTCATGTCATTTTTTATATTTCTGTCATTTTTGGTCGACGAATTTGAAACCGTAAATTCCATCAACCTGGCACTGCAAGGAAAAAATATCTCAGTGCTCCATTGTCATGAAAAAGACAGACAGATGCATTAATCACATTGAATGCACATTTGACAACTAGGATCTGCCATTTTCTGAAAAAAATTATTGTTTGTTCAAAAAATATTTTGCTAACAGTTGCCTATATGTTATTATTGTAGTTAATTTTAATTTTTAAAGGGTCTGCAAGTAATATAAAAAAATTTAAATTGCTGTAAATTCTTGCATGAAATCCTTAAAAAGTTTGAGATCCACTGCCTCAACCTTTACCTAGCTTTGTTTATGCAAAACCTTTATTTTCAGAAGCTACAGTACTAAATTGTAATCTTGATTTATAATTTTATTTAAATTTGAGATTACCAATTTGTAATGAATGTAAAAAATCAGTCTAAAAAAGAGGCTATGTTATACCTGCACATACACTGCATAAAGATATTAATTTCAAATGTGCATTTATAACAAGAATGAAGATAAAAGCAAACTGAATAAAGAAAGTTGTTCTTTTGTGATACAATCGGCAGACCTTGGGTAAGCCACCCCTGGACTAAAGAGTTATATAAGACATATGACATTGATTGAGTGGGGTTTAAAAAAAACTTTCTAAGTTTAAAACTGTAAGCCTAAGTATAATCATATTGAACAATAAAGATTTATTTGTTCCACACCCCAAATTTTTATATGTAAGGTTTTGCTAATTTCATGCCATGTTTACTTCTGACTTTAGACTTGGACTATTAATTTTCCCATAGCAAGGGACAGCCCAAGGCAAATTTTAACCTATTATTTTTTTATTGTGTGGAAGGTGATATCAGTGCTACAATTGCACTGCGTTAAATATTATAATTCCGAAGTAATATTTTTAAAAATAATTTTTGTGGCAACGAACAAAAATTGTAATTTTCTTATTCGGCAGGTTGCAGCAGCACTCTTATTTGCTAAACACCAACAGAGGCTCTTACTGTCACAAACAGAGGGTGGAACAGAAATTAGAACCTGGAAGTCAGGAGCACAAATGCAGCATATCATTCAAGCCAGATGTCTTTAATTAAAGGGCTGAATATCATCTTCACTTGGACTACATTTCTAATATTATTTGAACCGTATCATGATATCACAGAGTCATGTTTTTATGACAGACAAACACCCAATCAAAATGTCTTTGATAAACAACTGACAGAAGTATGGCAGTCCTACAGCAGAAATCAAAGAAGGTTAAAGAGACATTCCAAAATTGTGTTCAACCCTATTAGAATTAGCCCAATCTACAGTTTTGACCAACAGTTGTTGTCTGAGGAGCGAGAAGCTTTACAAAATGTTATAGAACGAGCTGTGAGGAAAATCAATGCCCTCTTTTCAGGTGCATTTTAAAATAAGTAGAGTAAATTCTTAATTGCTAAATATTTCTTCAATTGCAAATTTTTTAACACAAATATGTATTCAAACTCAAAACACCTGTGTGCTGGCAGGATTTTAAAATTTATAAAGTAAACGATGAATTGTTTTTAAAACAGACATCACTCTGTTTATTAAAAGTAACAAACATAAGAATATTAAAAATATCTAACTTAAAATACAGTAACATCAGTAATGGGCTTATAGTATAATTTTCTTTTATCTATCTGAAGCATATTTTTAAGCGATGATGTATGCCTCACATTCATTTAGAAAATGCATTATAATTTTACTATTGAGTATGTAGTTTGAATTTCTCTTTCAGTTGTCAGTGTTGAAGGACCTTTACTTTTGCCTCGCAGTTCATGCCCTGCTATATTTATAAGTGGCATCAATAAAGGAAAGTAAGTAGTATGATAGTCTTCCCGTTGAAATATAACTTCTTAAAATTTCACAATTAAACAAATCAAAATTATATCACATAGTAGAACTGGCAACATCTTTTTTTTTCAGGTGTGCAAGAATCCCTAAAGGCTATACAGGTGAATTTTGTATGGATAATTTTAAGGTTAGTACAAAGACAATATGCATTTGTTTAAATCAAAATAAATTATCAAATGAGTTTTAATGTTCCAATTATTCAGCACTTTATTTAATTTTGCAGCTAGCAACATCCCCTTTTTAGGGTTTGCACAGTCTTTGAAGGTTTGGTAAAAAAAAAAAAATTTAACGAATTCTTCCCAGGGTCCATAATGTTTTGGAAAAATAGGCAAAAAGTGTCAGTCTTTGAAAGTTTGGGATAAATGATTTTTGTGTGATCAAAGAGACTGATAATTAATTAAGTCAGAAGAACTGGGGGGCCTCATAAACTTCCCATAACAAAAGAGTTGTTGAATTATGCCTCAGCAAGGATTGATTACACTGTATCTGGAAAAGCAGAAATTAGAAAAATGTAAAGGAAAAAAAAAGCTTGATAGATGTAGTGCAGGAGTTGAACTTAATAACATCTGATCTGTTTGCCCAATTTAGGCATTTTTATGCAATGCGCATAGCAATGGTCGTTGTTTTTTTCTCCAGATTCCCAATACCCACCTTCAAGGTTTTGTCATCTACAACAGAACCAGCCCTGACCCTATAAATGTTTACAAAGATGGACCAGGTCTCGCAAATGCAGACTTTGTATTGTACGTCACATCACAGACAACAGCCCTTTGCAACCCTTATGTATGTCTTTTTTTTTTTAAACTGCGTAATCCAAGTGATATCAAACTTAGACTTTGAAAATATATATGGTAAAGTGGATTGTGATCTTTCAGATCCATACATTTTCAATCATGATCCATGGTAAACTTTTTGTGTGGTTAAAATTCTCAGGAAAAGTCTGAATTATTAGACACATTTAAAATTGATGTGACAGCACTCGTGTCATGTGATCTGAACAATTGTTTTATCCTTCTCAGAAAACATCTGCTTTAGCTTACGCAGCCTCTTGCCAGCTTCAAGGTGAAGGTCGACCGGTGGCAGGTCAAGTGAACTTTTGTCCAAGAACAGTGAAGTCTCAGAAGTTTGATGAAGAACTGTTGTATAAGGTGAATTGTTCACTTTTATAAAGAAAAGTCCTCTCGGAGTGTAATCTGATAGTTCTGTCTCATAATTTTGAAAAAGATAGTGTGAAACAAACTTAAAATGAAATAATATGTACTCAAAACTTTTTTCAAAACTTTATTGAGCTCAAATTAAGTTTTACAAAAAGCACTCTTGTGATGTTGTATCAAACTTGATTTTAGAACTATAACATTAGGATAAGAGAACAAAATAAATATTTTCTATCACTGAGTTGATTTGAAAATAAATATGTTTCAGTTCTATCATTGAAGTGAATTTTATCTTTTGCCAGAGTCATCCTGTTCTTGTTAATTCTAGCCTTAATTAGTCCAGCACTGTGAAGTACATTTGACAACAATTGGTTGCCACATATTCCTGTCAGCCCTATCCACTTGCCCTCCTGCCGTTGACTTGATTTCCTTTGAGTCTACAGAGTGTATTTAGGAATACATTTAAAAATTTCAACAAAATAATATGTTCATGCAATCACTATTGCCTCATTTATAGACTACTTTGCATGAAACTCCTTGCAATTATCTATCTCACTTTCCAGAGGCTGACCTGTTACTCTAGCTGATTCCTCTAGTGGATCGTCTAATGGCTCGTTGCATGATCACATTTGGTAATATTAATCTTTCTAAAATTGCTTGAAATTTTTATTAAAAATGTGGGGTTTTTTTATTTGTTTTTTTTTCCCCCCAAATTTCTTTACCATTTTCTCAGGTTTTATTAAATCTTTTTTTTTACATCTATAACAGTGTGGTTCACTAATTGCACCATCTAACTCCTTTAATTAAACATTGGAGTGCATGTTTCTTCTGATATGTCAGTTTTTTGTTTTTTTGTCCTATCAAGCTAATTGAAATTTTCTTACTACCAGAAAGCATGAAATTACTTTTCAGAGGCTTTCGTAAAAAAATCAATCAATGAATAATATTTTTGAAATTCATATTTCCAACCTTAAATTGATTGGAAAATTTTCAGCAATAAAACTTCACTTAAATCCATGCTCATGTGAACATCAGTAAGTCGTGCCACACTCTTTGATTAGAGATTAGTTTTTGTTAACTTTCTTTATTCTCTCCTGGCACTACTACAGTCTAACGCTAATGATCTATCACTTGGGCTATATGCAAATTTGATTTGTTGTTTTTCTAAAATAAATATTTATTTTTAAATAATCTCTTTTCTATCAGAAGCCTCTGTCATAAAGTTTCTAAGCATTTATTAGTCATTGTTTGATAGCTAGACTTAACACCATCTTTGTATATAATTTTTTATATCTCTTTTCTTTAAAGATTCTATACCTCCATCTATACACTTCTTAAAATTATTTCAGTTTAAATTACAAGTGTTCTTTATTTGGTTTTACACATTTCTTTGTATCTTAACATTTTTATTTTAAATTTAATATTTTTAATAGATTTGTGGACGTTAGGTATACAGTAATACCTCAAATATCTCTGGGATTATGTATCAAGACACCCACACCCCCCCCCCCTGCAAAATGGCAAATACCGTGAAGCAGGATTTATGTGTATTTTAAAGCTTAATAAACATTCCCGAAAGTTATATTAATCTTTCCAACACTCTTATACATTTTTCCTATGCACTGAAACACTTAACAGTCTAGTATACACTCTTAAATGTACATACAAAAATACTAATGTATAAAAATAAAAATACTTTATACTGCAAAAATCCTGTGAAATTGATAAAATTCCGCATAAAGTATCCTAGGAGAAAACCGGCAAATGTATGAGGCTGCAAAATAAAAAGTAGCTGGGTATTACTGTATAGTCTATTGTTATGGAAACAATCACTATGGAAACAATCACTATGGAAACAATCACTATGGAAACAATCACTATGGAAACAATCACTATGGAAACAATCACTATTTCACAAACATATTGTTAGTGTTTGCTGGGGCGCGTGTGTGTTTTAAATTCATTGAAAATCATTTAAAATGTCTCTTTAGGTTCAAGATTGTTAAATGATACTTAACGTACTTGCATCCCAATTACATTGTGTTGCTGATTTATTTCAGACGGCTGTTCATGAACTTTTCCATGCTCTTGGATTTTCTAACAAACTGTTTGACAAATTTCAGAAATGCAATGAATGTAAGTTGATAATCTCATTTTGTTAAGTGATTAATACTTAAATTGGTTTATTAGGGGTTTAAAAAAACATGAAAAAGTGATATGAAGGTTATGATTAGTACAGTGGTCAGCAAACTCATTAGTCAAAGGAGCCAAAAATCAACAGCAGGACGATTAAAAAATTTTGAGAGCCAAATTTCTTTTCAAGAACCTGTCAAGAACCATGTTTTTTTGGAATCAAAACCGATTTGTGGCCGACTGGCTGAGCCACACTCAGGTTGCTAAAAGAGCTGCATGCAGGCATGCGGCTCACGAGCTGCGATTTGCTGACCTCTGATTTAGTATTTAAAATATAATATAAAAAAACAAATTTAATTTTAACTCTTTAAAAAATTATCTTTGGGACTATTTGTCAGGGCTAGATACAATTTTACAGATGTTTATGTCACTACTTGTGTAACATTTCTGCAGATGGTGAATGCCAGGCTTGGCCACAACCCATGCTGCAGCTGTCAGATGGAGTAATGCGACTTATGACTGATGCCGTCATTAGGGAAATGAAGCAACATTTTAACTGTACCACAAGGCCAGATTTTGGAGGACCTATTGAGATCACAGTAATGCTGAAATTATAATACAATATTGAAAGAATAGGGCAGAAGATATTCTTTGTAGGAGTCTACAACAACAGTGTTTAATCCATTTGTACAGATATTTAACTTACAGTTGAACCTTGCATTACATATATAATTAAATAGCAAATTATGATCAAGCAGAATGAACAGAAATATATTACTTTAAATTTGAAATCAAAAAAAGAAATTCATAAAGTTTTTAAAAAATTTGAAAATATTTCAGTTTTTAATGTTCTGATTTGTAAATAACCATCCATTAGAATGAAAAACCTTCATCTCATTGGGACTCAATGTTTATGCACAGTTCTGTCATGGGCTCCAAAGAACAAAAGGTAAACATCATCTCTTTTTGATTGATCAAATAAAGGCTTGTTTTTAAACAGCTGACTTTTAACATCATCAAGAATAGAAAATCCAAAATGATATTTCTTCCATTTAAAATGTATTGATTTTTTTTTAAATTTAAAGATTTGTTCACGTTACCTAATTTCCTTGACAGATGTGATCAGATATAATGCAGACATCAATCAAGTTTAAATCAGTTGTGTGAATAGGTCCGTGAGCATTTCCACTTTTCATGTTTGTCATTTGAAATGTTTAAGCCTAATATGAAATATTGATGTATGCTTTTCAGCCTTACCAAACACTAATAGACCCGATCACCCTGGCTGTGTTTGAGGACAGTGGTTGGTACAAGGTTAACTACTCACACGCAGATACATTCATATGGGGACAGGGTACGTGCAGATACATTCATATGGGGACAGCGTACGCTTTATAAAACATTAGCTTTTAGTTTTTGAAAGGTGTTTTATTAATAGTGTTTATCTTGATTAAGCTGCAGTCAGTGCTATTAGTTTTTAGTAATGCTTAGGAGTAGAGGTGAAATTAGTTTTTAGTGGTGCTTAGGAGTAGAGGTAAAATTAGTTTTCTTTGTAAAGGCATTTGAAATAACTTGTCTGCAGATCAAGGCTGTTCCTTTGGACTGAAAGGGTTTTGTGAATCTCAGGCAGGCTTCTGTATTGGCAGGTAAGTAAGGTGTGCTAGTAAGTGAAGGGTACTGATAAGTCAAATGTGTTAGTAAAGTATTGTAGTAAGGCATGTGTATATGTAAGTCATGATGGCTAGTAGGTAAATTGTTAAAGTAAGTCATGTGTATCACTAAGTCTTGATGGCTAGTATGTAAATTGTAATAGTAAGTAAATGTATTAGTAAGGCTAGTTGGTAAATTGTTATAGTAAGTCATGTGTATTAGCTAGTTTTATGTTGAGAATGATTCACAACTAAGATGCATCATCTACAAAGAACTCAATGTTGCGGTGAAAATTGTTTCCTGTCAGTCACACAGGCTGCCATCACTTACGACTAAGTAAAGCTCGATGTAATGCTCCTGACACATCCACCTGTGGAGTGTTTGCCACTGACCAGGTGAGAGAACAACTTGGTAGCTATTTCTACACCAATGCTTTGGCTTTTATTTATAAAACATTGAAAAAAATTATAAATTTCATTTTTTCTAAAAACAGAAAATTTTAGTGCATTATATAAACATGTTATAAATGTTTTTTATTAATATTTTAGCGTCCCGCGAAAATTTAGCTGCAAAAACAGTCTGTCAATGTAAATATTGTCTCCAAAAATTCAGCACAACTATTACATTAGTTGTCTCATATTTTATTCTAAATTTTTTTTTTCTTCTAAAAGTTATACATTTTACTGCGAAGATTCAAATTTACAATGACTACATATTGTTCATTTCATTTTAAGGTAAAATTTTATTTACTGCTCTCTACAGAAGCCATGTTTTATTAGCTCCAACAACAGTTCCTCATTTGATGAAGAGATATTTTCAGATTCTAGTCGTTGTTTCTTATCAACATTAGCAGTGGCAGAAAATGTGTATCCTGAGCAGGTGAAATTATTTCAAAAGAACTTCATTTTTGTAATTTAGAAACTCTCAATTAATAAACTTTATAGTTAATTTGTCTTCAGTTTTTTTGTCATTTAAAATAACAGTAAATTTAAATATAATTTAATCTTGATTGCTCTTGATCTTTTGAAACTTAAAAAAATATTACAATAGAATGTTTTAGCACAGGGCAGCAGATTATTCATTAGCAAAGTTAGTCGTCCAACAATTTTAACAGATTGTTTTAATGTTTATCCTGGATGTGATGAGAAATTTCAGTTAGGTTGGGGTACAAAGTAATGGATGATTGTTTTAAATGTTGTTTTTTTTTTATTTTTCTCTAAGGGAATGCAAACCCAAGAAGAGTCTGGCCGTTGTTATGAACGAAAGTGTCAGCAGGATGCATTCTTTATTCGAGTCAGAGGTGGCGATTGGATTCTTTGCCAGCCAGGTTCATATGTACAGGTAACGGGGATTAAATCTGTGTTAGTTCTCATGTATGGTGACTTCACACTCATTGTTAACATTGTAAAATATTAGTTTGTGTGGACCAAATCACGTATGGTGACTTCAGACTCATTGTTAACATTTTAAAATATTAGTTTGTATGGACCAAAGTTGGGGTGGGAAACTCATAGATTTTGTATTTCAATGTGGTAAAATATAGATAGTTTCATTTCTCTTTTAATATGGTTGACTTTGTACCGCGCTTCGAGCCTTTGGGGATGAATCGTGATTTTCAAATAAACTTTATTATTATTATTATTATTATAGATGGTTGTTAAATTGTCTTCAACTTTGATTTAGGTTCCCAACTATGAAGGAGCAGTTCAGTGCCCTAGCCATCAGGTGATATGTTCAGAATTCATATATCCAGAACCTTCCAAAGCTGATGTTGTGCCAAGTCCAATAACATCTACAAACAGACCAGCAGTTGGTAGGTTTTTGTGAGGAAGATATTGTTGTTATTGCAAAATTTCAACTGCTGAAAATTAAAGATTTTGTCTAGATTTTCTTTTTTTTTAATGGGGGGGTGTACCTGCTAGCTACCCAAAACTTAAGAAATATTAATTAATTGATATGAGAAAGAGATATTTTGTTGGAAGTAATGGACTTCGCAAAAGCATTTGACCGGGTGAATCATAGTTTGCTTCTACACAAACTCCAGATATATGGGATTCAAGGCACCACTAAAACATGGATCTCTAGCTTCCTCAGCCACCGACGCCAAGCAGTAGTGGTGGGCGGTACAAGCTCCTCCTTTGTCAATGTGAAGTCAGGGGTCCCCCAGGGATCAGTCCTGGGCCCCTGTTTGTTCCTAGCATACATTAATGACCTACCGGAGAAACTGACATCACAGGCAAGACTGTTTGCAGATGACACAGCAGTGTATAGGACGATCGCCAACAGATCTGACCAGGACCAGCTACAACAGGATCTCAATCTGTTAGCTGAGTGGGAGATGAGCTGGGACATGGAATTTCACCCTGCCAAGTGCCAGACACTATCAATCTCTAGAAGTTGTACTCCTCTACACTACCAATACAAACTGCACGGCCATATTCTTGAGCAAGTTTCCTCCGTAAAGTACCTGGGTGTTACCATTCAAAGAGAGGTCCGCTGGGACGAGCATATTAACAATGTATGTAACCAAGCAAACCAAGCCTTGGGGTTCTTAAGGCGAAATCTAAAGATTGGCAACTCCTGTGTGAAAGAAAGAGCATATAAAGCCTTTATCCGTCCGATTTTAGATTATGCATCTTCAGTCTGGGACCCATTTACCCAGAAGAGCATTGACAGGTTGGAGGCGGTCCAGCGACGAGCAGCACGCTTTGTCCTAAACCGCTACAGGAATACCTCTAGTGTTGGCAGCATGCTAGAAACACTAGGCTGGTCACCATTGGAGAAACGACGACGACAATCCAGGCTCTCCATGATGTACAAGATAAATAATGGGCTGGTCCACTGTTCCAGTATTAAACAGAAACTCGTCCCTCTCCCCCATAGACAGCGACGAGGCCATGACAGGCAATTCAGGCTCATACCAGCAAGAAGCCAGTATAGGAGCTGCTCATTCCTGCCCAAGACAATCAGGGACTGGAACCATCTTTCAAAAGGAACAGTTGAGGCGACAACACTAGACACATTTGTGTCTATTGCCTCAAGCCTTCAAACCCCTAGTGCATAATTTCCTCATCACCACCAGTAACAGAAACATGGCAAATCCCATCTACATGCATAGGAGCCAAAATGATCAATAAATTGATCGTGGGCCCTTAAGATATAGAAGAAGAAGAAGAAGAAGTTGTCAATAACTTGATTTATTTGTGGATTATGTTTATAATAACAGCAATAATAAGTTATAAATAATGGATATATTGAATTACAGGAAACTAATAGATACAGCTGTCTGTAACGTATTCGTTATAGCCGAGCTTTCACTTATAGGCGTTAATTTGCAACTATCTCTTCTTCACATTCATAACATGGAAGTCCTCGGTAAACACAACTGATTTTAATACAGCAGCTGAACATATCTACACTTTTTACAGGAAAAACATATCAGTGAAAATTCATTACAGCCATCTTCCCTTGCTCGTACCTACACACACACTCTCTTTTTCTTCTATCCCGTGATCTCCTTTTTTCCAATCATTCCTCTCAAGTGACACTGTCTAACAATTCTGAACAACAGCTTTTCAACTGGACACATAAAACTAAAATAGCCGTATCATTTGCTTACTGTTTGAAAAATTCATGACATAGTTGTGTCCAGCTGAGAGAGAAACTATAGACAGGGTAATGATCATTTGATAATTTGATGATTTCAGCCCCAGCCCCTTCATTAAGCCTCTGCTCACAAGCTATCTGCCCCCAAGAACCAGAAAAGACTGGATATAATGCTGCTGAAGTTGTTCATAGATTTTGTTCTCTAGTTTTAGGAAACATTTTGTTCACATTAAAATTGTTCTTCTCCTGACGTCTTTTGATATTCATTTCTAATTAACATAACTTTTTTTAATCAGTTGTCTGAGATATAATTTTAAAGAGTTTTTTGTTATTTCTTTATTTCGTTGCTCTATTTTTTTATTATAACACAATTGATTAATAAATAGTTATTAGCACTCAATAATCGTTTGTGTGATACATTGTACAAACAATGATTCATTCTCAAGTTCATAATTTGGTTGTTTCATTTTGGGAAGAAAATTTGCCAACGCCATAGCAATTTCATGTCTGCACTGATTTTAATTTGAATTAAGTTATTATTTTTAATTACATAATTATAATGATATCATGTTGTGGGGAAAATACCCAAAATATATTTTGTTAATTGATAATACATAAGATTCTCATAAAGAATGAAAGATTTTATCAAAATTATCTGTTTCAAACAAACTGCTAAAAGAAATGTTCATTAAGTTATATTCCAAGTTGCTGAATTATCATTTGGTTTCTGTAGGATCAACACTAGCTTGTTGTTTTTAAAACAACATATTTTTTATCCATAATTTCCAGAGCAAATTCATTAAGAATTTTATATGTTGGTATTTTGAATGTGAGTCTTCTTATTGCCCTCATAAAAATAAGTGACAATAAAATCATACTAATAAATGACACAATAAAATCACTCTAATAAATGATAGAATAAAATCACACTAATAAATGATAGAATAAAATCACACTAATAAATGATAGAATAAAATCATACTGATAAATGACAGAAAAAAATCATAATAATAAATGACAGAATAAAATCAGACTAATCATTGTGAGAATTACTCAACACTAAGGCCAATAAACAACCCCTATATCAAGAAAGTTTGTGAATTTGTTAAACATTTCAATAGGCCTTCATTAAAAGTTGAACTACCCTTTGTGCCTTATTGACAGCAATAAAAGAAATTTTTCATTTCTTAACCTCAACGGTTTTAAGCCAGCATGTCAGCAAGGTACATATTTTTGTTGAATTATTGGAATATATAATATAATTAAAAATTGATATCTATGGGAATTTTAGGTATTAAACAGTATAATCTTTTTAATAAGAATTTTTAGGAATAAGCCCTCACCAAAACAGCTTAGATAATTTTTTAAAAAGCTAATATTGTGTTTCGCTTAAATTTCATAATTAGCTCTCTTGCATCTATGATGAAAAAGTTTGGAAATCACCTCATTGGATCTTGGCAGCAATGTCCTATATTTGATTAATTCTAAGTCTAGAGCATGAATTTTAATTTTTGGAAAACATGCAACTTTTTTTAAATTATGTATTTGATCATAGCTATACATTTCTTGTTGAAGCATGTAAAATTGTTTGATAAAATTCTAATTTTGTCTTGTTGTATTTGGCTTGCCGGTGGTTCTACATTCTATGTAAAAATTTTAAAGTATTAGTTTCTATGCTGACCAAAATGAGTTTACTACTTTAACGTTTTTGTAAAATTTCTTATAGTAATAAATTTAAGTCAGTATATTATATATGACCTTATGTTGGTTTTTTTTAAAGAGTATGCGGGTGGAATTTTATATGATCCTAATAACATTAATACATCAAAGCACAAGTGGCAGTGGGACTTGCCAGTTGTTTTTTTTTAAATATTTGTGTCTCTAAAACAGTTTTAATCAGAAATAAGACAAAATGCGGCTCCAGACAACATATCAGAAATAAAAGCCAAATCTTCGCAATTGCATTATCATTGTGTCAATCTAGGTAATTCAATCCTATCAATTTTATTAGCATGAAATAGACACAGTAAGTGATCAAAATTATATTAACTGATTTCTGTGCCTCATGGTCTCATGGTATTATCACAAACACCTGTCAGTAATTGGTACTTCCACAATTATTGATGATCCATTGAATATGTTTATCAATCACAAATTTTGTTGCTCTACACAATCATCCAGTCCACACAGAGTAAAAAAATAATTATATATTCAGTGATTTCACCCTCCAACACGAAATTATTTTTTCAAAATGCAAATCATCTCCACAAAAATATTTTTTAAATGCTTGCCCAATGTTTCCAAAATTATGTTTCATTATGTTTTTACAACCTTTTCCCTCAAGTTTTTTACTAAGTCAGTTATTTCGATCATGCACAAATTGAATGTTAATCTTGAATTTGCTGTGCTTTGTTAACATGAAAAAGACAACAAAAAAAAGCTAGCCTGATGAGTATTTAATATAACTATATTTATTGTAAAAAGAAGAAAAAAAATTCAAGTAAAACCATATTTATTACATGATTAATACATGCAGGTGAACACACTTTGTTTATTGATAAATTCTTATAACAATTTTTTTAAATAAAATTATAAAAAGTAAATTTTCTTCCATCTCAAACTCATTCCTTTCTTTTTATCTGAAACACATCAACCAACTTATAACTTATAGGAACAAAGTTGTGCCCTAAATACTCGGCAAAAAACTTTAGTCTGGCGACATTGGAACACATTTTGGCTAGAGCAAATCGTTAATAAACAAATCGTAATAGCCATTACACCAACATGTAAACTCCAGGATGTGTAAATGATGATAATAAACGAGTTGTAGTTAGAGAGGGAAAAGTTGTAATTCTATTCTGTCATATATTATATATACCATGTTCACTTCAGGAGATGTTATTTTCAAAGCTGGAGTAAGTATAGATTATAAAAAAGTAGAAAATGCAATGCTCAGTAAACAGCTTTAGAAGTTGAGAAATATCTTCAAACTTAAAAATTTGACAAAAATAAACTATTGGCAAGTATCAACACTTTGTAAACATGAAATGCTATTTAATATTTTTTAATAAAGCAAAAGTATATCCATCCCTATAAAAGCTTAACAACAAAAACAAGTCAATAATTTAGTATAGACATAGTTATCTTAACTAAATTATATTTATATATATTTATGATATAAAGACTTAAAGTTTTTTTCTTTACCTCCTTCTCTACAGACAGTTCTCGATTGTTTAACATTTGCTATGACAACATCACAGTTAAAAGATTTTATTCATGTATTATATAACTTTGTTTATGTTTTTTAATTAAAACAACCATTTACTAATGTATCTAGTTTTCTCTCTGCATCTTTTCAATTTTATTTTACATTTGTGGTTGAAATAAAATTTACAAATTCAATATTTAATCTAATAGGCAGGATTTCATTCTTTAGGCAACTAATGATTGTGTAGGTGGTTTGACACATAATGAACACAATTTATAACGAGCCACCTCCAGAAAGGGAACTTATTTATAAATCGAGAACTGCTTCTATACTTGTATCTTTAAAGATAAACTTACCAATTTTTGTTATTTCTTATGTGCAATTAATACCACTTAAAATTTTTTACCACAGCTTAATCCACATTATATCTAACCCAGAGAAAAGATAACACTTAAATGGTTATACAAGCATTTATAAAATTGAGCTCAAAGCACAAAAAAGTTTAATACAACCTTACAATGCATTAATTATTTGTATACATTATTCAGTAGAGAACAACTGTATACCTTTTATTTTATCTCACGTACATTAAAATATTTTTTAATTTCACGTACATTAAAATATTTTTATTTGTCTAGTACAATCCCTAAATTGTAACACAAGTCAAAGTTTACGCTATATGGGAATGTCATTGAAAAAACTCGCAAGGATATATAAAAAATCTTTAACACAGCAAAATGGGGTAATTTTCTGAACAATTGTTCCCTTGAAAAACTAAAGACGTAGTTTGAAATTAACTCCCCTAAATGGCACAAAATTAAATTTATTTTACTATTGTTCCTTGGTCACTTCAGTTATCCTTCTCTTTCAAATGACATACTACTTAAACAAGTTAATACATATTCATGTGTGTATATTTGACAATGGCAGCAGTATGCAAATGTTGACCCTGAGTTCTCAATCCAATCACCTTATAAAAAAATCTGGCTTATTGAATTAAACGTTTCAAACTTTTACATTAATTCAAAATGCATCTACCATAAATCATTCAACAGTTCATAAATTCAACTTTCTAGATAATCTATGGGCATTCAACTAAGTGCTAAAAATGTCTTTGAAACAAGTATTTTTCAACAGATGAATACTATATGGTATTTCCAATTTTAGTTCATAGTGAACATGGTTAAGCCTGCCGACAGACCATTTTTTAAACTGAAAATAGTTTGACTTTCACTTTCAGTTATCTGCAACACCTCACTGACCAAAAATATTTCTGAAAGATTAAATCCCCATCATAAACTTTTGAAACAAAAAAAAAAGTACTGCAGAAATATAAGCAGCTCTATGACTATATCTCAGAGATAAAATTATGTAAGAGATGTATCAACACCCACAAAGTAAGAAGAATAAAATCTGATAATATTTTCTGTAGGATATTGTAAAAACAAACCCTGAACTCATATCTAGCATTCAGCATCTGATGTGTTCTTTATTCTGAGCTTTTATTTATCATGATCAGATTGAGCTGCCAAATTGTAATCGGTGCCAAGATTTACTGATATGCAATTTACCTATTCCACACAAAAAATTAATCATTTAAATATCATATAAATGATATCAAAAACAACATTCTAAAACAAAAGATATAATTTCAGATTTAACTAGTGTAAAAAATACATCATCAAATTTCATTTTTTTAAAACAAAAGAGTATAAAAGTTGTCAACATCATCATTAAAAATTGAGTATTCATTTTGTCACCTACTACATGCTCCCTTACGTGTGAAATTCTCGTAAGTCTTAAAAAAAATACAGCCTCACCAGCAATCAAAGTTTTTTTTATATTTACTTGCTTTAATTAAGTAAACACTTATATTTATCTTATTAGTCATGCAGCAAAATAAGCAGGAAAATTAGTTCTATTCCACTGTCTTGAGATTTTGTCCATGATTTCTTTTTAATAGATAAGACAATGCTATAAACCTGTTATACCCAACAAAGTTATTGCAAATGATCCGTCATATAGGCAATATGCCAACAGTTCTATGTTCTGGTAAGGATTTAAATCCATTTTCTTGGTGACTCATCATACAATTTTACAAACAATCACATCCATGAACAATTAAATTCCTCTTCCAAATCATATATTGTGATTTAAGTTCAAAGAATTCATTCAAAGAAGTATGACGGAAATCTATTATTCCAATGTAATAGTCTATTAAACTTTCACTTCCATTGAAAATATCTAAAAGGCACACAATAATGTTACCTATTGATTGAGCTCACTTGCAGTGGGCTAAGTGACCATGACCCATTGCCTTCCAGTCTGAGTTCCATATCATGGTACGGCCTAACGGTTGACCTGTGGCCAATGCTCATGAAGGTGATACCAAGTTCTGAACAGGTTCTGTACAACAGTGCCTCCATATCTTGGCTCACCTGGCTGGTAGCTTCATCTAGAACTAATGAGAGAAAACACATTGATTTCAATGTTCAGTCAGTGTGTTTGAAATGTAGTCTTTTCAACAAGCTTACTTTCATATAAATATTTATATCATATCTATCTATCTATATATATATATATATATATATATATATATATATCATATATATATATATATATTTATAATATATATATATGTATAGATATCATCATCTGTATCCAGCTCTGTCTTGCGCAAGCGGAAGCGTCCCAGAGGAAACTTGGGGGCGTTCACACAGGATTTGCCTCTTTGTGGCGTGGCAGATAGTAGGGCGGTACTATTCTTCCGAAGCAAAAAACCCTGGCCAACTTCATGACTCCCAGTGCAAGAAGTAGTAACATCGTAACATGATTACTGGTTGCCGTTAATGGATATGAGGCTTGGGTGGGGGCTAAAACCCATGCTGATGATTCTAGCTACGCAGCCATGAGAAAGCTGTTCCTAGGCAACGGTTTCGTCCCGACTGAAAGACTCCCTGGGCAGTGAGGGGTGGTAACACCACACCATTCCCCCAGAATGGAAGCAAACCTGCTCAACCCTCGGGAGAGTCGGCTGCGAATGTTTTAAACACATCATTTTCGGACAACAAGATGTCCCCCAGGCCACGGGGGAGGTTCCAGGCATGCCCCAGCGCGGTCCTTCCGTGTGGAGGTGTGACAGAGGGGTGGCATTAAGAGCTCGCGCTCGACGGCCCACCAATGCCATTTCCCAATGTGACATATCCAGCTCTATCAAAATATGCTTTGTTACATAGTAGTGGAATTTTGTTTCTTTACTCCTCTGACCTGGCCTTGTCAGCAAACCACATTCCAATAAGAGTGACAAGTTGTTAAATAAATTAAGTTCCAGACCAGCGTCCAGAGAGACCAGTGGGCCTACATTTAAGCCACGCGAAATGAATCTGTATAAATACTGGTTGTCTTCCCTTCAACACTAAGCAGCAAAAATAATCAAAGTCAAGTACTTAATCAATTTCATGTGTTCCAGGAACCTAGACTTGTGTTGGTACTCATTATATTACTGTGAGATTTTGATATTTCCAAATAGATATTTAGTGTTAGATCTTTATTCATTTCTTTATATGTCTAATTTTCTGTATCTTTATTCATATTTTCATTCCATGTAATAAAGTACATTTATATAGAGCACTTGATTGGCTTCATTTTAGCCAGCAGTGTGTCTAAAATCTACCTGTGTTATCCCCCTTATCAAATTCCCCAAGACCACAAGCTTGTTCAAAATCATTGAATACCATAGGCGGTGTGACAGCTTAAAAAAAAGACTTACTTGCAAATGGTGGTCGATGAAAGAAAAGTCGAACAAAGGAAAGTCTCTGCATTTCACCTGGAGACATTTCATCATACCTAAAAATATTAATACAAAGAAATTTAACATCTAAACTTTTTATCTTAAGAATCAAATTTGATTAAAAATTTTGCGTTCAAACAAAGAGCAAATTTTTATGGCTCAGTTCCATTATGATGCGAGTAAATATAAATTATCCGTAAATTTATTTAGTTTAAAGCAACTTTTCAAAAAATGTTTGTTTTGATTTCAGCGATTGAAATTGTTAGAAAAAAGTAGCCAGGTTGAACCTAGCTAATTTATCAGGCAACCTTATACCATATAGATTTTTTTTTTAAAATTATAAAGCCAAGCGCTGATGATTTAAAGGTATAAGAATTGTTCTATTCAGCTTGACAATGTCCTTCTCTGCTTTTCACTGTTGTTTCAGACAACTTTTTATGCAGGTTTTCTCAACAAGTGGCTTCACGCCTGTTATTTATTGTAATGGACAGATAACAATCAATCCCATAGAAAAATTACACAAGATTTATAAATATCTGGATATTAAGGAATTGTGAAATGTGTTGGAAAGATCTTCACAGGTACACACAAATAATGGCAGAGTGAACTGGCTAATATCTGTTAACTTAGTAACTAACCAGTTCCAGTCTGTTTCAACATCCAGCCCACCGAGTCTCTCTAACAAACCAGTCAAGTCAACTAGTTTGAGATACTGATGAACCTTGTTATCCTCTGAGGGATGGCATCAAAAGAAGAATGATATAAACAGCCATGTAATGCTGGATTTTAATGAAAATATGTAGCATTTGATAACACTGAGATGCTAATGAAATTTTATTGCAAGTAAATTGTGCACTCGTTGGCACCTTTAACTAGTATTTCTTTAAAAAAATGTTGTTGTTTTTTTAAAGTTTTCTAATTCTTCAATTTTATGGTTAATTTTATTGAAATATAATGAGAAGTTATGTATGTTTTACCTGGCACAGTTTCAGAGACTTGTAATGGGTAAGTAATCTGTTGGTTTAAAAAAATGGCAATCATCAGACAAATCTTCATACTAAATAATCATTCTTTTCACTTATAAAAATGGTCTTAAAGAGTACAACAGAAAATTGTTTTGTGTTTTTTTTAAATTAAGTTTTATTTTATTAAGAAATCATGCCTGCTCTCGTAGTGTTCCATCGGTGAAATATGGCTTCTGAGGCAGGTACAACATGCCTAATGGACCCAGGCGGACGTTAATGGACATATCACCTAAACACATAATTATTTTAAAAAAGAAAAGATAATTTTTTTTAACAAAAATGAAAGCTAAATTTGCATACATTCTGTCAAATTTCATATACTCCAGTAAATCAATAAATCAAAACTACATAAGCCATTTCCATATTTTCAAAGATTTATATTTATGCTTATTTATTCGGGCATTAATTTTTTTTATTATTTCACAAAATTCCCAGAGTTTCAAATTCAAGTAAAAGATTTGATGATCTCAAAAGGTAAAAAAATGTGAAATGGTATATCGCCTAATTAAAGAGAGAGAGAGAGAGGTGGTGTTAGAAAGTTCAAATGCCCCAATTTTGATGCATATTGATCAAAATTGGCTGTCAACACTCTCATTACCAAATAAGATTTTTAAAAATATCAAAACAGTCAAGGCTAAAATCTTCATAGATTAACAAATATTATTGTATTAAAAGCATTTTAAAATAATAAAAGATATTTCTTTTGTTACAGATTAAGAAGGTCTCCAAAACTCATCCTTTTATAACTAGATTGCATAAGATGCTTCAATATTAATTAGTTTAAAGAATTCATTCAAAAAAGTTTGATGGAAATTTATTATTCCAGCAATAACAAATGCGGTCACTTAAGCTTTTAACGTTTTAACGTGCTTCTATTTCTTGTCCTACTTTCATCTGTCCTGTCTGCTGAGGAAGGCACTTATCCCAACCATTCTTGTCTTATAGTCCTGTTTCTTAATTCAAGCGTCCACATACCTTGTTCTACTATTTCCTTCACACAGCTTAAATGCAGTCCTTCATTTATAAAATATTTGTACTGTTTGAAAAAATGTATTTTCAAAACTTTACCTGAAGAAGATTTCCATAACCCACTTAGTACACGAAGTAGAGAAGTTTTCCCACAACCACTGTCTCCAGTCACCAAAACATTAACCCCACTCGACAGCTGGAATGTCAGATCTAAAAAAAAAACAGGTTAGAATTTTTTTTAATTGAAGAAACGTAATTAGTAAGTATTTTAAAAAAAACAAATTATGGAATTTAAACAATTAACATACATTTCATGACAAGACTTACTTTTACACAAGACTTTACAAGATTTTGGAAGCCCATAAGTCAAATCATTGACTGTAAAAGCTGTTGTTCCATTGGGCGACAAGGGGTTAACATCAACACCATTATTTCTGAGACTGGAAAAGGATAAATAAACTTTAAAAAATTCCAGCAATGATGGTTGTAATTTTTACTTCTGTATTATATCAGCGTCTGTTTATAATAAGATGATAGAAAAATGCTTCATTCAATCAATGAAATTTGCTGATGTATATTTTTAATGAATTAATAACAACAATTCTCTCCACCTTTGTCAATGTCACCCATAATGCAATAAAAAAATTTCCAACCTATTTATTGACCTGTGCATGTAATGGTGTTCTTCGCTCTGCTCATCTTTAAGACGTCCAAGTTCTTCAAACAACTGGCCAATCCTGAAATTTAAAACAGGTCCAAAAACAATAATGCTCAATATGATTGATGATCTTCTGTTGTCCAAGAATTTCTAGACGTATTCTTTCAAAAATTTTTTTCTGAATAGCTTAATGGGACAGAATTAACTTTTATGTTTTTGAGTCACATCAATTAAGTCACCTGTGAGCTGCACCAGCCACATCAGTCACTTGTATTGATTGGTCGATTAGTTTGGTGAAACAGTTGATTAGATATATCGAGTAAAATCCATTCTGGGGAAAAAAAAATTAAATTATTAGAAAACTTTAAATAAGTGACAGATGACAAAAATTCAAGGAACGTTGTACATTTTATGGTCATTAATATCTTATATTAACGGACTTAAAAAAGACCACAACTATTAGCCTACATTGATTCCATACCTGGCTGATAAGTGCTGAGAGATCTGATGGTTCCAGATTTTTATATTTACCAGAAAAAATTGGAAAAGAAATTGCTATGTAGCTCAAGATGCTGCCTAAGTAATCAGCCGTATTTATGAAATCTGTGGAAATTGAATGTTTTAAACAAATAATTACATTTAAGAATAAATACACAAGTGAATGTTATATGATCTGTCCTGTAAAAAATTTTAAAGGCCCTTCCAGAGTTAAAAAAAATAAAATACCAGCACTGATATAAAGCTTATTTTCCCTGCAAGAATGAAATTCAAAACTTAATAGGACCTTAATAAATTTAGAATATAATAGATGTAAGCAAATAATAAAACTAAAACCAGTGGTGAATATTCTATAAAACTTTTTAGAATAATAAATTTTTTTATAAAGAAACCACCCTGATGAATGAGATAAAAATTTTAAAATATTTTTACACCCTTTATAGTCTTGACATCAGTGGCGTAGCTCGGGTTGGTGTCACCCGGTGCTGTAAACTCAAGGTGTCCCCCCTCCCCTCACCCCAACTGCCACAATGGATTTCTTTTGTTGTTAAAATAAGTCCACAATATAACAATGACAAGAAAAAAAAATTAATAGAATTCAGGATGTAAATGTATTTAAAACTGTAACAACGTTAAGTTAAAGTTATTTTTACATTAAATTTAATTTTTATGAAATTGTCCTTTCCTGGTATTCAAATATGCAAATCTGTCAATCATGTGATCAAAATCAATACCCTTCAGAGTATCACTTTCAATTGATAATAGAGCTAGATCAGAAAGCCTTGACTACCATGGTGGATCAAAAATAGTTCTTGATAAGCTTTAGTTTTGAAAAGCTCCACTCACATGAAGCCAGAGGTACACAGATGGTAAAAGCAATTAGAGGCTTAGTGACAGTTTTGGAAGAGATTCTAGGAAGTCCCATTCAGCTATGAATTTTAAAACCTCAAATACTGACCAGTCCATGACTTTTTGAAATTCAATGGTATCTTCTAAGCCTTGGTATTTCCTTCATAAGTTCATCTTCTGATAACTCATCATAGAAAGAGGTTAATTTTGAAACTGAGACATGTAACTCTTCTTTACTTGCTGAAAGTAGACTCTTGGATTCCTTGATCCCTGATGTTCTGATCTGGAGCTTAGAATGAAAGCAATCAATACACTGCAGCATCTCCTCACTGTTTTCTTCTAGCAGAGAGAGTTAAGCATCTATTAATTGCTCTCCAGCCATTCTCTTCTTAAACCTTAATCTTCTCTCTACCCAAATTCCATATTGATATGATTTTTAAAGTGCCTTTTCAACAGCATGTCACACCAAGTCTTAAGGTGTCTAAGTTTATCACCTCCTTGTCAAGAGTAAAACCTTTAGTCTGCAGATACTGCTGTGTAAGATTAACTTCCTCAGGTAGATCAGCCCAAAGGTAAAGGTAGAAGATAAACGTGAAATCACAGACAGCATGTAATAGACCTTGTGCTGTACCTCTTGTTTCCAAGTTTCAAGTAGATTATACAGAGCTTCAATCATCGCCACACATTCATCAAACTTATCTTTCACTGTTTTAACAGCAGCACAATGAGCACTCCAACGTGTTGTTGACACTCTTTTGTGAGTGTTCAATTTAAACATGTCATCAATGAGTCTATGCAGCAAAGAAGGAAAATATTCTCTCAAGAGTACATAAAAATATAATAAATGAAACATTTTCGGCAAAAGAGCGTCAGTTACAAAAGTTACTGAACACTTCATTCGGCTTAAAATCATGGTAAAAATGGTGTTTATCTGACACAAGTATAGGGTCACCTCATTTCTGACGCATCAAACTTGAACTTTTAATAAATCATGCATTTGGATTGGTTATATATGTGGACACTTTATGTGTGATCAGTTATTATTTTATGAAATTCTGTTAGTAGCGTATGCTTTGTACATATGAATTTTTTTAATTTGGTGCCACCCCCTGAGATGGTGTCACCCGGTGCGGTCTGCACCCCCCTTGCTACTCTGCTAGTTGACATGACTTTTTATCAGTATGTTCCAATGTAATTGAAGCAATATTTAAACAAACATCCACATTACTCTAGGATCCTTGAAACTTTTAATTCGACAGACAAAGTTATTTCTTTCGCATTTTAAAAGATTTCAATAACTGTAATGGAAAAAAGTTATTTTAACATTAGAAAAAGGAACGTGAAGAAAAAATTGCTCTATTTTTCATTCAAACTACTATTTCAATCAAAGCCTTCATGTATGCCCTGCAACTCCGACGGATTCAGGGGGCCTCAGATATTTAAAGAGCCCACATTTGTGATCTCAGAAAAAACATTTCAAACTATCACCTTTGAATGCAGGCGGCCTCCAAAAGTCATCTGATGGCTCTGCTTTCAGTGCATTTAATTGCAAGCAGTTCAATCATGGCAAATGTTATCTGTCAACACTAGATTAGCAGTTCAGAGGACAGGAAATAAAAGGAGGTGTTTATAAAAGTGTGTTAAAATGTATTTGTTACATGTTTTCTTACAATTAAGAGCATACTCCCAACGTATAAGCCGTCCTTGTGCTTTGAGCAAATTTCTCAATTTCTGATTAGCTTTTAGTTTCTCAACCTCTCCAGCTCTGTAGAATGCTGCTGACTCAGAATTAGTTCTAATTTGCATATGATGAAATCTGTAAAAATATATATGTTCACATTTTAAACTGCTGAGAACTAAGGTATAAAACAAATGTCCACAACTCCTTAAAATTTTTACATGAAAATGGAAAATGGCTTTGATGCATTATCTCCCTTGCCCGATTTTTTTTAATAGAGAGAGAATGATGGTTACCCACAGATTCATGTATGGTGACTCTATCTACTTCTATTGTATCAGCCCTGTTACTTATGTTAATGCATGGCAACTTGGCATGTCACAGAGTTTTATTTAAAAGTAATGAAACAGTGGAGACCAAATTTTTAACAGCTGTAAGAAAATAAATAGTGTTAAATGGTAAAAGAGTTTTATTTAAATGACCAACCTGAAGTCTCCTTCTCTTTTCTGTTGCAAATAAAAATATTTTACAACAGGAGACATAAGGATTTTGTTGATGATAGTAAAAACAACAAAGAACAACAAAGCACTAACTGGCCCAAGGTAACTGGTGCTGTGTAAAATAAAAATGTTACATGTCATTAATACAACCAGCTGATTTAACAGTAGGATTAATGAAAACCATATAATTAGCATTTATTATTTACATATAGTTTTATCCAGGGTTCTGGACATGAAACTGATATAATGAAAACAGTTTTACATTTAAGTTAAAAATGCTTCATTACTTGAATATTTTAATAGTGATAATTTTTTCAGGTGCGACTACATATTTTTTTGCATTTAACATAGAGCAATCGCTGTTTTATATTTTTACTATTAAATGTTCTTTTAAAAATAAGAAAAAAAGCACATTACTTTAATCTGTCTGGTCTTAGTCAATAACTCACACATTCCAGCACTGATAGAAATAATATCCAGTTGTGAAAGGTGTAATGATAATGGGAACAAGAATCAGGCTAAATGTACTACACATGCGATCCACATCTTGAGTTATTCTCTGGTCTCTGGAGGAAGCAAATTTTAGAAACAGATACACAGTATTGTATTATTTTTAATAGCTGTACATTAAAAAATGACTACCTTTGAATTTAAGAACGTGCTGCATAAAGTAATTTAAAATAATTATTATGTATTAAAGAGAAATATACAGCTCACATATTCTTCATCAACCTCCCAAGCCATATACCAGGATGAAGACTTGTGAATGTCCCAAGCGAATAGAGTTAAATTGTCATTTTCATCATGTGTTACTTAGTGCATGCCATTTATCATGGTTCATGTCAGAGGCATATGTCAATATGTTATTAAATAAATATGAACCCATCACCCTATATGTTTTCTTCACTTACCCCTATGTAAGAATCAATAAAATGCATCAATTCCCAAGTATTTAGACTTATTCCCAGTTCTTAAATCAAATATTTATTATAAAGCAGATGAAATGAAACTTAAAGTGAGATCATTTTTCTTCTGAATTTCAAATTTTACAGAGTTCTCTCTCTTTTTTTTTTTTAAGAGTAGGAAGTGATAAAGATGTTACCCCCAAAAAAATTCCTTCAGTTCTTTAAAGTAATAAATCCTTGAAAAAATGATAAACATACGGGTTGTCAATGGTTTTTTCCACAACATTGAGTTTGTAGTAAAGAATATCTTTGAAGTATTCCTTGTGTAAAGCTGAACATACACTTCCACGCCATGTGATGTATAGTAGGGATCCAACATACGACTTGGTACTTAAAATCTGTAAAGCAGTAAACAAAATTATTGAATATAGTAAAACATAAGCATATTACTAAAACAAACTAGACTTTCATCTGGGAAATCAATAGAAAATATTATAATTCTCAGGTAAGAAAAGTTAAAAACTCCCACTTGTGACAATAAAAAAAAAAGCAAACTATTTTTAGACATATGTAAATATATGCAAGAAATTGAACTATTATAACTAACAAAATACCTAAAACAAAATAAAAATTTGCCATTCTGAAAAAAGTAGCTACTAATTTCTCAATTACCTGTGAAAGTGTGACAATCTTCCTCATTTAACCCATTTGTATCCAGGGAAGCCAAAGTAAAAAATTGTTGTTATTTATTTATTTATGAACTGTCTAAAATCTATAAAATAATAGTCAAATAAAGTGAAATATTAAGGTAGATAATGCAGTAAAATTATAACTATAAAAACTCACAAATGCTTCTGCAAGAATTAATCCAACAGAATAAAGTAAATGTTTACGAAATGCATCTTCATCACTGTCCAAGAAGATTTTGTAATACTTGCTGGGTACCAGTCCAATAAAGTATATAACCACCTGCTCTGGAAAATGAAATGATTACATTAGTCAGCCTTTTTAGTACACAAGTGATGATGAAAATATTAATACATAAATATTTTGTATTATAATATTGAATTGATTAATTAATGCCAATTACTTCAAAACTAAAACTGTAGAGATTGCAATATGTAGGCCCCCAGCTAATATTTAATAATAAGCTAATGAGAAAGAAATAAACAACATGGCAACTTAATTGCTAAAATTACTTAGTATGCATGCGCTAATTATGTAAAAACTACAATCCTGACCAGCACCCAGTCAGTAAAATATGCCTGTTAATTATGAAGGCCATTGAAGCCCACCTATACTATTTTCAAACATTAAAATAGTTACCCAACAAACTTAGCAAGAGTAAGAAAAATGTCAGCCAAACTGATGAACTCCAGAAAGAAGGGAAAAGCAACCGGCATATCTTCCAAAAACGCTTGAAAAAGCGCAAATCAAATCCAGCTCTGAAAATAAAATAAAAATCTTTGTTTCATTTTAAAAAGATAAAGGATATAAATATTAATTATATGAATATGCCGCATCACATTATTAATCCGAGTAATGGCTTTGACTTCAAGTCCCACTTCTTTAAATCGTAATGTTTAAAGTAATATAACTCAGTTACTAACTCAGTAACTGTAAGTAAGATAATAAGTAACGTAGCATTTAGTTTAGATGCAAAAGCAATAAATAGTCAAAACTTTGTAATACTAACTTAGTAACTAACAAAGGGGTGATTACGTCGAACTGTCGAACACAAAAGTCTAAAGTAGTTTCAATTTTATGATGATGCCAGATAGGTTTAGCTGTTTCAAAAGCCTCAAATAAATCATACATCTTAGGCTTAGACTTATAGTATAGGAACCTCTAAAAATGTAATGGTCCCATGCCCCATCTTTATTATAAATTACTTTGATTCATTTGCCAAATGGCTAAGGCCTAATTTGTTCTACTGTTTGTTTATTATATAACATAGTTGCTCCCTCAATTCTGACCTAAACATTCCTAGCCTCAGTTGCTCCCTCTGCTACAATTTTTTTTTTTTAGTATTATGACCAAAAAAACATAAAAGTTTAAAAGGTGATGCTTTAATGAACCTATTTCTACGGCAAAAATACAGACACTACATTGCCTACATCACTAATTATAATATTACTTATTATTTAATGCTTAGTCTTCGTTGAATTAAGTTGGTGATAATTATTCAGTTCTGCCTAATTGATAAGTTGCAATTGTTAATTATAAAAAAAAGTATTAAGCATTTCATTGTCGAGCTAGGCTTTAAAAAACTGAAATACTTCAATCCAAATAATCAACAGTCACCGGCCTAGATTAAGATTTAGATTGCCATCAAGTCAAAATAAAGTATTAAAATTAAGACATTTAAGTTTTTAGTATACGTGGGCGTTGGGTATATATTATATATATAATTTTAATATTGTATAAGCCTCATTAGTATTAGTGGATTAGCATTACCAGACATGTGCCGCATGTACATGTTGTTAGGATATCATCGTCATTAGTGAATAGAAGACCATTATGGATGACAATCAATATAATTTATTGAGATAGTCTTTGTACTTTTACAATGTAATTAGTTATAGTAGGTCTACTACTATTTTAATTATTAGTTTAAGAAGTAAATTAGTAAGAAGCCCAATTCCTGGCACCGTCCGGTAAGGCCTTTCTAAATTTTCTTTAGTAACTTACTGAGCTTACTCTAACTTACTCTTCGTTTTTTAAGTATTTATTAAATTGAAATGCAAAATTAAAATTCCCTTTTAATTTAATGACATCGCGCGATTTTTTAATTTTTTTTATTGGTGAGCGTCGAGTTTGTTTTAACAATGCAATTAACTCACTCATCGGACGAAGGACGCGTTAACAAACGACCTCCGCGGTTTATATCCATAGCAATAGCAGCCGCAAAACGAAATGAGAGCAATTTTTATTTCAGCAAATATATTGTTCAACAATTTTCCTAAAAGTCAAACCTAACTTTAACATGAATGAAATAAATATGTTCGTGGGGATTTCATGTGATATTATTGTTAATTTAATAACAATTAATCGATTGAATTAAAAATAACTATATTTTATTCAGCATAAATTATTTTATTTTAATAAGACAAGGACTTGCCAATAATAAATTAATGCAAACAACAAGTTCAAAACTACCAAAGCATCTTTATATTTTTCAATAACTGCTCCTTTGCCTAGCATTCCAAAGCGTCAAAATGGAGTCGGATGGATTAGGATTTGGTGCACCCCAGAAAAAGGTATTCGGCAAATGTACAATTACATCTATTCCTTCGTCTTATAAATCATTAAATAAGTAAATAATTCATATAAATTCTTGAGATTTATTTAAGCTTTAGACTTTAATTTTAACATTTGTTAAATATTAATTTTCATAAAAAAGAAAAGATGTCACTGATCACTGTCACTAACTTACTACATTACATGTAACACTGTTAGTACACTACTTACTAACTGTGACAAATGGAACGCAACTAAAAATAGCAGTAACTGACTTAATAATTTAATATTATAAATAATATTATTAATTGTTATAAACATGCCAAGTATATTAATTATCAATCACAAGTGACCAGCGACCACTAATTTACTGCCATAGCCATAACTATAACTATTCATAAGACCACTCTGACTCTATTATACAGCAGGGACCTCGGTATGATCCGGGAAATGCCAAAAACCGGGTATCGTGATTTCGTTGTCAAAATGGCGACCTCCACTTTTTAATTTACCGAGGGTAGTGTTGTTTAGGATTAGTTAGTTTTTTAAATAAATTCTACTTTTGCCCTCAACTTAAAGCAGACATGTTTCTTGTTCATTTGACACTTTCCTTTTAGAAAAAATTTGATGGTTTGACTTTGAAAATTAATGGTCAATAATAGCTAATTTGACTCATTCATAATTTTTTTGTGGAAAAAATAAGTTAAAAAAAAAAGAAAATACCAATGTTAGATAAAGGCATAATTAACAACATATCCAAAATTCGTGAGGTTAGGACCAGTGCATGGGTGAGAAATTTTTGCACAAAATTTTTATCACATGTGTCCCAAAATTAGATCTACCTATTATCTATAAATAACTTTTTTGTAGTAAGTAGCTTGATTTACACTGGAAATCCAGCATATTACCCACTAATAATATTTTAAAACAAAGCAACAATTTAATAGCACTAATTACTTTTATCTGATGCTTTTATTTTGAGTGAGGAAGTGGGATAAATAGCCCTATCCTTATTGTATCAGTATAAATAATTAAATAAATAAATATATATATCCATCCATCCTATAAGCCTAGTATAGTATAGCCTATAGTAATAATAATAATAATAAAGTTCATTTCAAAAACACGCTTCATCCCCAAAGGCTCGAAGCGCGGTACAAAGTCAACAAAAAATATCTATAATTCACCACATTTAAAACAAACGCAACACTACGAAAACTAATTACAAGCATACAATATCAAAGTCTTTCTAGCCATTTCAACCCGGAGCAACACAGCAACACATGGAAAAGAAGGTAGACAATCATCCCAGAAGGTATTTGCGAAATAGATATGTCTTTAGATCGGTTTTAAAGGACTCCAGTGTCTGGTTGTTTCTAAGATCGACAGGAAGGGCGTTCCAAATTGTTGGACCAGCAAATGCGAAAGTGCGCTTTCCGTAAGTCTCAAGGCAAACACGTGGTGTCGAGAGTTTGCCACTATCGGATGAGCGGAGCTCTCTACTGGGTACATAAGGCGTCAGCAGCTCTTTCAGATAGGACGGCGCCAGGTCATGTAAGCAGCGGTAGCACAAAGTTGCGATTTTGTACTCTATGCGAGCACGCACCGGCAGCCAATGCAACTCTCTCAGAAGTGTTTTTGCATGGTCGAATTTGCGTTTGCGGAGAACTATGCGAGCCGCATTATTCTGTGCTATTTGAATTTTATCCAGGAGCGTAGCTGGAAGACCCACCATAAGAGCATTGCAATAGTCCATGCGTGATAGCACAAATGCAGACATCAGCCTCTTTGTTGCATCAATTGTTAGGAAGGGCCTGATGTGACTAATCCTGCGCAGCTCTAGAAAAATCGCCTTGCATAGCATGTTAATATGACTTTCAAAAGTTAGTCTTCCATCTAGGTAGACACCCAGGTACCGCACTGTTTGAGCTAACTCAATACGCACACCTGAGAGAGTAATGGATGTAGTGTTATTTGCAGATTTTTGCATCTGAGCGGTCGCGATGGGGAGCAGCTCAGTCTTATCATCATTTAATTTGAGCTTGTTTATTGTCATCCAGTGCTTAACCGACTCCATTGTCTTCTGTGTCATACTATAGGTCTAGTACCATCCCAACTTATTATTGCAAGACCTATTAATAAACAATTAACTATTATAGTTAATGATATTTTAGGCCATGTAATCATATTTTATTATTTAATGGAAATTATGATTCTTAAATTTTAAAATAAAAATGTTTTTACAAAATATTCACTTACCTTTGATATTGAAATATCCGGAATTCACTCACAAATCACAATATACCACAAGAAACTTATATAATCCTCAGTATTTTTCAAAAAATAACACACCTTATGATACAGTAATCCAAGAATTTCTTAAGCTTTTACTAAAGAACAATCATAAAAGCTTGTACTTACCTCAAGCAAATGACTAGAACTTATTTTAATTTCTGTCAACAGCCAAAGTTGATACATGTTGATTTGTGAAACAAGATTACTAATTTTTTGGTCATATTCAAATGGGAATAAAATGCATACATAAAAAATGGTAAAATAAAAAGTATAATCGTCAGTTTTATATAAATGAGTCAAATAATCTCTGTATTATTTGTTTATACTGATAAAAGTTAAACAATTCCACAGAAAATCTGAAATTAATATCTAAAGAATATTATTATTACTATTAAATTAGGGAAATTTTATACATTTATATTTAAAAATTATTAATTAATTAATACACATAAGTGACGAGTCAGCATATTTTATTCATTTTAATAAGGAAAATTATCAAGATTAAAAATATTTTTTTGCGTTATATTAACAAAAACTAAAATTGTATTTTGTGGCTTCATTTAGAAGAACTCATATTTAACTGTGTTCCCTGAAAATATCATATTTTGTCTCATTTTATAACAAAGCTATAGGCATACAAATAGGCAATATGAGCGTGACGAAATGTGGAGGAAAATCCCATAGTGAAAAAGGGGTTTTGAGGTCCTTACTAAAAAATTCATAACTTTTGAACCACTTGAGCTAGAAAGTTGATCTTGGTGTTTTTGTAAACCATTATATGAGGTCTATACAGCTGTAGTCTTTTTATATTTTTAAAAATGTTTTGAAATTTGAATCAAAGTGCCTATATACAGTATACGCTGTTAACTATCTATTAAATAAGTGACCACTTATTAACTGTCAGTACTCTAACTTACACTTAACTGTAACTACTTACACTTACAGTTACAGTCTTAACGTTACAGTACAACTAACAGAAAATTGAAAAATGATTCCAATTATTGAGTCATGACTTCTCTCTAAATGATATATTTATAGGCCTAAATATTATATTTTATTCCAAGAAATAGATGAATTTTTTAAAATGTATTTATATATGTTGGTGTCATTAGCCTTAGCATAATTTTTTAGTGCAAATTACTCATTATAATTATAACTTCAAATCATACCTTTTATAAAGTGTGGTGAAGTCTCTTTATAAATTGTTCATACTATTTAAAATGGGCCTAGGTATTATAAATTAAATATTCTCTTACTATTTCAAACACGTTTTAAATACTAAAATAACTATCAAGTATAATTTTGTTAAAACTTAGAATTATCCATCCATGTGAATGTGAGCATTCTACAGACTTGTTTAACAGCTTCTATTACATTTTTAAAGGTTAGCAGCGTCAGCAGCATGTAGAATTAAGGATCGGTTTACAAAACAATTCAAACCTTATGATAAGTCACTTCAATAGTTCATTGGCATTGGGTAAAAATATTGGTCTTGTCACTGCACCCATAAATTTCATAGTTGCATATATTGTACTTGAGATTGAGATTTTCAATTTATGAAGCTATAGCCTATAAGAATAGCAGCTCTAAAAAAAACTTTATAGCTAAGTGCAACATTCATCCCAGCTGTTAAAAGCTAAATGTATTTGTTTTGCTATTGCTAAAAAAAAAACTTTAGAGCTAAGTGCAACATTCACCCCAAAAAATTGTTAATGTATGTCAAGATGTCTTTCTTAAGCAAAGTTTTGAAAACTAATAATTATTATACAGCATAGCATGAAATTTAAATTTAAAAAATTGATCATAGCATTAAAAAACAAATTTAACTTTTTTGTGCTGACTTTCACTTTAAATTCAAAATTAGCTGCCTGCAGCAAGTGCTGTTGAAAGCTAAATGTATTTGTTTTGTTATTGCTGTACTCTATTAGTACCATTATTAGTACTTTAGATCAATATTGTTTTCTTGGTAATTGCATTGACTTAGCATGTTGCAGCCCTATTTTACCATTCAATTCATAATAATATTAACTCCCAAAACAGCTATAATCTACAATTATAACAATCATTAAATCATTTCAATCAGGGTCCAAAGTCAGGCAGAAGAGCTGCTAATGTCTCCACATCACAAGCGCCAACACTTGACGAAGAAGAATTATCATCAGAACCAGCAACCAAAAAAAGCACAACTGTAAGTTTATAAAAGTTGACCCCTCTTTTCAACTCCTTGAGTCCATGCTTTTTGCTATTACACAACTGGCAAGACTTTAAGGAGAAGGGAACTGCTTTGTTTTTATTCTTACCCTAAAGCCTAAGAGTACTAAGACATACAAATTATTTTCAATAAATAAGTTAAAGTAAAATTAGTAAACCTTAAAAGTATTGGCATTAAGCTTTAATTAAAAATTTTAATATTCTGATAAGGGTGATAATATAGATGTAATTTTTAATTCTAATTTAAAATCTATGCCCTTTAATAGCGGTTATAGCTCTGTTTTTTTAGATACTTTTACTTCAACAAAGCATTGAAGCATCCACCACTTATATCCCCCTTGTGTTATTTTATATTGATGTCACACATTAAATATGTAGCGCCCTACCATTACCCAGCCCTCCCTTGATAGAAAAAAAGGTTGTTTACATTTGAATGCATTCTACTTTGTGCTAAAGAATGCTATCAGGTGATGCTATTTCTAGAATTTCTTTTCTGGACATTTCTAACTCCCTCCTTGTAATATAAATAAGCCAGCAGCTTTCTCACCAAGAGAAAGATTTTTTATATATTTCCTAGACATAAGACATATTAAAAGACTTAATATAATTGTAGGAGCCTTTTAAGATTTTACTAGTTATCTTTGTGTGTACATTAATATTTTCTTATTTCGAGGATTATTTTTTTCAACTTGGTTTGCTGTAAGTTATTATAGCTTATAATGCTGTATATTTGATTTTGTTTTTTGTATAAATTTAATAGTATAATTAAATAGAATTTGTTTAATGTAGCTAGCTTTGGTATTGTTTTTCTTTTAATACTGGTTTTAAGAGATTTGTTTACATATTGTTCATCTAACGAGCCAAATCTTATAACAGATTAGATTTGCAAAACCGTATTAACGGTACATAACAGTAGCCATTCCAAAAAAAAATTATTAACAAAAAATACTTTAAAAAGAAAAAAAGGTGCAATTTGTTTAATTTTTAAAATTTTGCTCATAGAAAACTTAAGTTAAATTCTGTGACCAAAACAAAGCCCTGATGTTTTCTCTATGCTGAGCATCCACACAGATGCAACTCAATCAGCATTTAAGCTGGTCACTCAAATTTTTATTTATTTGTAAATTCTTGAAGAAATGTTTCTTGAAAAAAAATTCATGAATTATTGAATTTATTTTAAACAATTTAAAAATGAGAATGATTGAGAAAATGTTGTTTTTTAAATATTACATCCATTCCACAAAATCACATAGAATACATGAAAAGATTTCATTTGCCTTTCTCTTTGTCTAAGGAGAATGATAAACTTTTTGACCTCCTTTAAGTATTTTAGTGTACCTATAGACATAAATATTTAAGAACATGGAGAAATGTCCATATTGTTCCGGTTAATTCACATTAACATGAACAGTACTTGAAATTAGTAATACACCACATCAGGTATGGTTTGTGATGAGCTCTCTTTGTTTCTCTACAAGGATGGCCCACCAGGAAGACCAAACAAAGCTGTATCCGGGTGGGGTGAAGATGCCCCTACAAGAAAACCCCGGTATGTTTTTAATTGATTTCTCTCTGAACTCTCTTTATTAGAGACTCATCTGTTTTTTTAGAAATATGGTTATTAAATTTCATTTAATCTCAGAGTTAAAAACTTACAAAATGTTGTTTTCTAGATGGTATTTTAAAGTCATGAAGTCATTATTTTCAGCCTTTAAATTTTTTTTTTTATAAAACCATAGTGTCTCAGCCATCCATCCATCCCTGTGGTGCTACAACCTATGTAGGGCTTTGGCCTGCCTCACTGCTTCCTTCCACTCAGACCTATATGATGCTGTTCTTTTCCATGCTTGGATTCTCAGCTGCTGTAGATATTTTTCCACTTCAACCATCCATCAGCTTCTGGGGTTTCAGTGGTGCACCCTCTTGACTCCTGTCATTTGGCTTTATTTTTAAGTGTCCTGCCCGGCGTAACATGCCCTTAATTATATCTGCTACAAGCATGAGATCCTGATATGGTAAATGCAATTCCTATTTTTTTCGTATTCTCAATACATATTCATCCTTTGTTGGTCTTATATTTTCCAGTCAACTTTTTCCCTCCAATTGTATTTAATAGGTTTTCTGCCATTTTGGTTAGGGTCAAAGTTTCACTTGCATGTGTTACAACTGGTCTGATTACGTTTTATTTATAGTTTTCTTTGTTTTTCTTGTAATGTTTTTATTTTTGAGTATTTTCTGACTACTATGCCCTGTTTCCAGATGATATTCTTTCTTTTATTTATGCTAGTAATTCAATTATTTCATTTAATAAAGATACCAAGTATTTAAAATGATTTACCTTTTTAAAAGGGTGTTTTATAATTTTAATGGTTTCATCGGTCTGTTCTTCTCTTAACATGGTTATGTATTTTATTTTTTGGTTGTTAACTTTCAGCCCTGCTTGTAATGATACTTCTTCTAATTCAATATAAGCTTTTGATATGTCTTTACTACTTTTCTCTAACAGTGCTATGTCATCAGCATATGCAAGATACTGTATGGGTTAGCTGTAGAGAGTGCCTTTTGGTTGTGGGTCTTGGGTTTCCCTCAGAAAGTATCCTGTTATTGTTCTACCATTGTCCATATGTATGCATCTTATAACTCTCTCTAATGTAAGGTTAAATATCATACAAGACAGTGAGTCCCCCTGTCTTAGGCCTCGTCTAATCTGAAATTCACTTGAATATTCACCCTGAACCTTGATTTTGCTCTTAGAGTTCTTTAATGTTAAATGTATCAGTCTTGTCAGTTTGTTGGGTTTGCCTAACTACTGCAGAGTCTCATAAAGATATTTTCTTTTGATGCTGTCATAGGTTGTTTTTTTTATAGTCCACAGAGAGTTGATGTTCTGGAATATTAGATTTGTTATATTTCTCTAATCAGCATCTGATGGTGAAAATCTAAGTCTCAACAAAATGAAAATGTTGAATTATAACATCTTTTTAAGAACACAATTTTTCCAAATAAAACATACTTCATGAATTTTACTGGTCTAAGATGGCGATAATATTTTATTATGGGAATTATACAGTGTAACTGATATTCAAAGACACATAACTATATCTTGTAATTCATTGTTTTTTAAAAATTCTCTACATTTTTTATATATTATTATTAAGTGTATCTTTTAAAATAAAATTCTTAATTGTTGGCACGATCAATATGCTTGTCTGTTGTAAATTTGAATTAGTTTATGTGTTTTGAATCTAAATATTCATCAATAGATTCTAATTATCTGTTGTCGTTTCTTTAAATTTTCCTTTGTATGTATCGTTGTCCATTCTTAAACAGCACCCGGCAGTTGGGTGAAGGATTTGAGGTTCAGGAGGAGTAAGTTGGAATTTTATATAATAGCGGCTTTCATCACTGCTTTTTTTTTAAAACTTATCAATTGTATTTGTTGGTATCTTTTTCATATAGCCTTTTATTAAATCTTTGAGCCATTAATTTCTTTTAATATTTAATGGTATTTGTGAAACAAATGTTTGTATTCTCTGATAAATTGTTCCCAAAATAAATTCTGTTTTTTTTAAAAAAGAAAATTAGGTTATAGAAAATTAGCTGACAATTCTGAGGTGGTGACTATGTCAGTAATAAAAAATAATGTTTGTTGAGTAAGGTATTGCAAGAGGGCCTTAATGAAGCCAATATCCCCAAACTGCCATTTTCCTGTATGGTAGATCAGCACTAGACAAAATGAACAAAATAAATAATTATAGAAATAAAAATATATTATATCACATCTTGTACTACTTCGTAAAAGGTATGAAACACATTTATTTCAAAGAAAACATTGCACCCGTTTCTTACTTTGTTAAAATTAATATGAAATGTAACCATTTTTGGCTTTAATCCTTTTATTTTATTTTTAGAAATTATTATTAGTTCCTCTCTTTTCTTTAAAAAAAATATCTAAATACCGGTATTACATTATTTGATTCATTTTAATGTCTAAGTTGCTTTTTATTCCTTCCTACTCATAAATCTGTTTATTCCAATGTTTTCTTTAAAAGAAGGGCTGTAAAAACTACTTGGCATTTTAAAATAGTAAACTAATTATTGTATCTTAACACAAAGGAAAAAATTAACCTATTTCCCATATAGATTAGCTGGGAATACTAGGATAACTGAACTAGATATTATAACAAAAACCTCAATCTTTGATCAGGTGTTATCTTTATAAGTGTTTACTAATCAACTCTGTGTGTTATCTCCAATTTTCTTCTCTACTTTACCCGAAGAATAAGAAATGTATGCAATTTCTTTTTACTAACACTTTAAAGATAATGCCAGCTTCAAAACATTACTCAGTGATATAACTCATTTCGTTTAGTATTTTGTTTTTAAGTTCTTTTTAGGTCAAAGTATTTCACAACATAACAGCATAAGCAGCTTTTCAAACTTTCGTTTTCTACAGGCTGCAGTGTATTTCCATATAACTTGTTTTTTTTTAAAAACTCTATTCTTATTTATTTAAAAACATAATTTTGTTGTGGTTGTGTGAATGGAGTGGGGGGGATATTTTAAATGATTTAACCTTGCAATATTTTCATTCCAGTCATGTGTATGGTTGAAGTGAAATCCACACCAGCTGTGACCATCACATTAATTATATATATGTAATTATTGAATAATTTGTCCTCAGAGCATTACCATTTAAGTTTTTGAATACCACCATCCCAGGGATGTGTGTTGTTTAATAGTCACTGAGCTAACAAGAATATAGTTATGTTATGCTTTCACATTAAATTCTTTCACAATGCTTGTTTACATAAGCGAAATGAGCTGTTTGTATCACAAAATGTAGGTCCTAATTTCTTCCAACCCATTCCACCCATTGTACATGTTATCAGCTGAGTGGCTACTCACAGTGAATAGTAGATCAACTTAATGACAGCTATCTTGTATTTAATTCAATATATCTCATTTTTTGTAAGCATAATTGCTATCTATGGAGAGATACTCAAAGAGTTGTGTTGCTACTTTTTGACTGCCCGGTTGTTAGTTGTCTGTTAACCAAAGGGAAATTATGTGCTGCTTAATTATCTGCTCTTCCTAAGTCAATTTCAAAACATCCCTGACAGATTTGACAGATGAATGTCACTGGGATAGCAAAACAAGGTTGTTAGGTTCATTTCAAACTAAAGCAAACAAAATTTATGACAAGGGGACTCAAGGCTTACATACACTGTTACATTAGTTTCCATTTAGCTGTCTCTCGATTTTTTTTTAGCCCCATCACTCAACTGGGCACAACTATATGGGGCTTAGTGTTAAGAATTGAAATACATGATTTTAAACTATTTGGTAAGTTGGTAGACCTAGAGTATTTTAAATGTCACCATGACATACCAATATCAAACTGATTGTTTTGAAATGATAAGCATCACATGTTTCTATTTCATATTTGTATGGCCAATAATGTAATACAGAGTACATGTTTCTCATATCATATTAAAGGGTCTATTATCAACCCAAGTTTAGTACTTAATTCTTAATCTATTTCTAAGTACTTGCTCAATTGCAATCAAATTAGTAAAATATTAAATCAATGGTAAAAAAATATATAATATAATATACTGATCCCAGTGTTTTACAAATATTCTTATACTTTTTAATAGGAATTACTAACAAATTTAAAGCAAAAATATACCTTCAATAACATTTATTACCTCATCAATTTTTATTTTAAAAAGGGAGATTTTTGGGTGATAGGTTGTTAATGCTTCCTCTCTTGCATTGGTTTTCATTGAACTTAAGTTTTTATTGAAAAACTGGCTTAGAATATAGTCTCTATCTTAAAATGTTCATAATTTCCTAGGTCTTCTTCATTCTGACTTCATCTTTTTTTTTTAAACTGTCTATGTAATCAAAGTAAGCAATTGAGTCTTCACAGGTTTCTTATAGAGAATATGGCCAGGGGTATAAAATTATAGGAAACTATAACTGTGGGTTTATATTAAACATAAAGAAATTTATTTTCTAAACTTTCAAGTTGTTTCTTTTCAATAACCGAGTTGGCTTCTAGCCAAACTATGCTTGTGTTGGTTTTTATTTTTTTAAAGACTTTCTTTATATTTGAAAATCCATGGGGGTTTGTACATTTGTAGCATTTTCATTTTGTCAAACGTGACCCTCTCATTAATAATGTTAAGTTAATCTCATCTAATTTGGCAGGAAAAGGGCTATTAGGGGAGTTCAGATGAGAGCTGTATGATTTTGGGGAGGGCTGGTTCAGAAGGGGGGAGGGCTTACGGCAATTAGACTCGGAACAATGGACGATTTTAGCGTAATGCATTTTAAGTAATTTTATATTATTTTAGACTTTTTAATGCGGTTAAACTTGTCTGATAGAAAGCCTTTTTCAAGCCTTTTTGTAAAAATATTTTGTATTGGTCATTAGGAACTAATTCATCATACTTTGTATATTTTAATGCTACTGGAGCTCTACCTTAACCATCCCAGTAGGGATTGTATCCAACTGCTATTGATATTTATCAACTTTTATTTTTGTATGATGTCTAGAACATTATAACAATTTTCATTTGCTATAACATAATTTCATTGTTTTATTTGATTAATTATTTTTGTATCCAAGCTAATTGACTAAATGATGTATATTTTATGTTGAAACTAAATGTAATTATATTTTACAATAGTATTAAATCAAAAAATTTTTTTTGCCAAACAAATTTCATGATGCCACCATTTGGGCTCTTTTGTTTCAGTGATAGACTAAATCAGAGGAGTCCAGATAAAGATGATGATTCAGAAAGTGGTATGTTGAAAAACAAGTTTGTTATAGAAGATGATAATTTTCTTGAGATTCTAGCAATCAAAGAGAGAATTATATATCTTTTTCAAATAATGTTTTATTTCATGATACCAAATTCAAACTATTCTAAATTCTGTTAAACTCAAGTAAAACTGTTAAGGATTGAAATAATAGTAACTAGATTTTTTTAAATATTTGGAAATATATTTTTCATAAGTAATGTTCATTGAATTTATTTGTTTCTCCAATGAGATATACCAATTATTCCTGAACTTGAGGAAACCGTGGAAGATGAACTAAGCACCAAAGTTGCTTCAGCTCCAACGTAAGTTTATCAGCAGTAAATGAGTGTTTGTCCAAGTATGTTAATTTTTATATTTTTTTGGAGTCAGATAGGGTGTAAAACTAATTTCAAGTACATAACCACTTGTCATTATGCCTAAATTTCTTGTAAGTTTCTTTACGTCAAGAGTTTCTGTGATTTTTATTCTTTTTTTTAATTAATTTTTTTTTACATTAAGAGTTGCAGTGAACAGACTTTCCACCTTTAGAGAATTAGACAATGACCTCCTCAAACAGGCGGCATTTTTAACTCTTGTAAGTATTAAATATATCAATTATTTCTTTTAACACATTCATGAGGAAAAAAGTGAATCTTTTTTTATTTTTATTTTTTTCAACATTTATTAATTAATTACATTTTGTAATTTACATATTAAAGCTGAACCTACATTTTGTCTTAATTGACTTAGGCCAAAGAAGCAAGATAGCAAAATTGTTTGAAAAACAGAAAAGAAACAACTATCTCAACATCCCTGGCTACAAGAAGACTTATTTCAAAACATAAGCCAAATACAAGATTAGTGATCAGGCTTTTTTGAGCAATTTACAAAAGCCTTAACAATAATTAATCATCATCACTCAGATCCAGTAGCCCATTGGCCTTAAGCCTTTCAGCCAGAGGTCAGATCCAGTAGCCCATTGGCCTTAAGCCTTTCAGCCACAGGTCAGATCCAGTAACCCATTGGCCTTAAGCCTTTCAGCCAGAAGTCAGATCCAGTAGCCCATTGGCCTTATGCCTTTCAGCCAGAGGTCAGATCCAGTAGGCCATTGGCCTTATGCCTTTCAGCCAGAGGCCACAGTGAAGACTTTGCACACTCTCTGCAGCTTAATTATAAATCAAATGCACAATTTTTTCTGGATAATTAAAGATAAAAATAGTTTTATCTTTTTTTTTTTAAATCAGGTTTATGAGTTAAGAGAAATATGATTCAATAGTGTGACTTTAATTAGTATGAATAATGTTTTTAGTATTATCAAAATTTGTTGACACCCTGTTGCAGGACAATGACATTGATCTGAAATTGTTAACAAAGGCCCTCTCACCATTAGAAGATATAATTGAAGTAAGTAGAGATTCAGTCAATTGCTCTATTTAATGAAATTGTTAACAGAACTTCTCCTACCATTAGAAGATATAAATGAACTAAGTAGAGATTCAATCAACTGCTCTATTTTTTTATTGCTTTTTAATTTAATTTGAACTTTCTAGATTTCAATATTTGTAAATAAAATGAGACTAGTTGTTTCTTTATTTTGTTATTATTCTATTGACTGAAACCAAACAAAAATATGTTAACAAAAGGAAACTGGTGACTAAGGTTTATGCAGGGATTCCTTTTACTTTTAGTAAAATATAAGGTTTTTGAGTAGACAAGAAAAAAAAAGAGTGGTATATTTATTTAATATTAGCATTAGCATAAATGTAAGAAATATTTGACTTCAGATGTAATGGTCTCTGATTAATTTTTTAATGTAAAAAAAGTGAAAATTATTGATGACATACTTTTTTTTTAATTTAAGAAAAATGTTGGATTTTAAACTACAGTTGGTTACTTTAACAAACAAAATATTTCAATACATTTTATTTAAATCTTCAAATCTTTAATGCTATTTAATCAAAACAATTATATCAATAAATATAAGTACACAGTAGTATTATTGGAATGCATTTGTTGAAAATGATAAGCCGAATAGATGACTATTTTCATCCATATTTTTGTGATCAGGATGACAAGCCGTGGGACTGGGACAGATTGTTCACAGAAGTCTCATCAGACCTCAGGTCCGAGTGGGAGAAGACACAAGGGGAAAGGGAAGAGGAAAAGTCAATAGAAGTTGAACAGTGATTTTAGACATTATCAAAACTACTTGTTCACGCAATCATTTCATTGAATTCTGTCTTTTCAATGCTTCAGACCACCATTCCCCACTATATAGGTTTTAAAAATTAATTTAATTTTGTGAATTCTCAATTTTCATATTTACATCTACTTTTGATTATTTTACTTATAACTGCTCCTCATTGGATGAACCCTTATGCTTTTATGTGTGTCAAAAATGGAGGAAAAAAATGGAACTAAATCAAACTAAAAATAGTAACAGGACAGGGATTAAAATATTTATAAAAAATAACTTCTAAAGGTGTATAATGTTTCTTTTTAAATGACATTAAATAAATGTTAGAAGGAATAATGTCCTTAATAATATTTTTAACATCATGGTGTGGATGTGTACTATTTGTGTGGAAAAAATTTAAAGTTTAAGCTCATATAAGTAGGTGGTAAACAGCATGTGTCTTGAATTCATTTGCTTTGGGACTAAAGACAGGAATGTCCAACCTGTGGCAGACATTCCTAACGTCGGCCCCCCAATTACTTAGTTTTAAACAGTCTGTATAAAATAAACAAAAGTACAACGGAATATTCGAGGGCGGTTATTATGAATTCGCTTCAATGTATTGTTAACAAAAAAACAGACACTAAAACTGAACAAAATATTTATTTTGAAAATACTTATAAATGATAGAGAAGCTCTTATTTAATTTTTTTATTTAATTGCAAATATACTGTGGTATTTTAATCAGAAGTTACAAAACAACGCGTCTCAGTAATCTTACTTCATCTGTAAACTTCTCAGGTAAGTCTTTCAAACCCAACATTGCTGTGTAACTTTCATTAAAAAAGCTCATGTAACAGACAAATATTTTTTGTTAATCATAACAAATATTTTTTTTAATTACTTAAAATTATTTTCTGATATTGATTTCTTTTAATTTTACTTGATCATGGGACAAGTTTCATTTTTCCATTGCTGAGAAAATTAACTTTGCAACATCACAAACATTATTTCAAACAAGATAAAAGATGTGTGTGATATTTAATAGTTCACTTACTTTTAACATATTTTTAAATAAATGTAAATGTCAAAAATAATAAAGTGGGACTGTTACATTTGACAATGTGGCCTTTAACATCAAAACGGATCATTTTTCTAAAGATACTCTACGGAAATACAAGGTTCAGTGATTTTTTATTTGAAATCTTTCCTTAGACAATCTCAAATCCAAGCCGTTAAAAATAATAATTTAACCTTTATGTTATCTTTGTACAATAAGATCTGCACAATTTATCATATATATGTGATTGTTTTTATGATTGGTAGTTTTGTTGTATTATTTCTTTTCCAAAGATCAAACCAATAATTATGTGATTATTAGATTTTGTAAATAAAATTATTCAAATAACAAGTCAATCTTTTTATTCATTTATCTCCTGTTGACATGTTTATTAGATACCTGTATACTTAATCTTCAAGTTTAAATTTAAATTGTTCAGTCCTCAAATTTCTCAAGCTTTAAAGATGTTTATTTCATTGCTAAAATCCAGCATATCAGATTTATTTTCTCAAGATAATTTTTTTACACTTTAAAAAACAAAAAAACAAAGAACAAACGCAAATTAAGTTCTTCATCAATGATCAGCCATTTAATTATTTTAGCTACCTGTACATAACACAACATTTACACATTACATAATAAATAATATACATATATATATACAAAATTTTAAAAAAAACAGTGTCATCTTAAATGGAAAGAAATCAAATGGAACCAGTATCATTATCTAGACCATTTAATTTTGAACAAAATAGTTCAACTTAGTTATTATTTTCAAAATTCAAATTTTTAAAAAATTTATGGATTTTAACTTAAATCAGTGCTTACAATTATCCAAAAAATGTAGTACACTTAACAGGTATTAAATACGGGTGTTAAATAGTTTCTATAGTTCTTACATATTCAAGTGTCTGGCTCTGATTCTGATGCAGTTTTTGTCTCCTAACATATTTCAATTACTCCCCTGTTAAAAATGTCTCTATTATATATAATTAAAGACATGAGAAGTCTACTTCACTAAGTTGGGTTTATTATTTTTTTGTTTTTTACACTATAGCACAAATAAGCATAAGCATTGTACATATCCTTAAACAAAGATTTCAAGAATTATTTATAACTTTTTATTTTCTAAATACTTTGAAGTAAATGTTAACAGTACAAAATAATCCCATAATAAAACTCCCCCCCACCAACCCATATATATATACATATATATATATATTTATTATATATAAATATATATATATATATATATATATATTAAACAAGTATAAAAACATATAAACTTTTGTTTTTTTTTTTTTTTAACTCGGGTAACATTTTTTTATTTTTTTTTATTTTTATATAAAAATATATATATATATATTTATTATATATAAATATATATATATATATATATATATATATATTGAACAAGTGTAAAAACTTATAAACTTTTGTTTGTTTTTTTTTTTAACTCGGGTAACATTTTCTTATCTTTCATTATTTTGCAGAAAAGTTTTCAAAGATAAGTTTTTGAAAAGAGTTCTTCATTAAGCAGGTGTCATCAAACTCACACAACTCATACTTCCTGCCCTTTTGAGTAGGTATCATTTAGTCTATCAAATAGTGGAATGGGTGGTACTTGCGATTTAAAATCCTGAAGAAAAAAATTAAAATAAGTGTATATCCAGCAAATGAGGAATTAAAAACATCTTAACTACTGAATTAAAAGGTGCACCAGTATATAGTTATAAGGAAGAAGAAAAATGATCTCATGATAGTTTTTTACGACACTCAAGATAAATGTCTATTTCTAAATCTTTTCCATTTTGATCTTAACAGCTTCGTGTTTTAAATATATCCCTTACTTGTACTTCATTTTTTGTTGACTGCTGCGATTTTTTTTCAGCAGAAAAGAATAAGAGTAAATAATTGTATGAATAAATCTTAATTCTGTTTGTCTACATTTAATGAATCATACATCATTTCAAAGTTGTATGAACTATGGTGAATGAAGAGTATGACTACACCACATCAGAATTGAAATGAAAATGTTTAAGTCTCCCCAAGCTTATCCAGCACTAACCTGAGAAAAGATGAAGTTCTCAGGAAACTCTTCTCGGAAAAACCTGGTTCCATATTTAACAGGTCCAAACTTGGATGATGTGTATAGCAATGGTTCATAGGCCACTGTTCGATGCGTGAAGGGTTGAAGGCTGCAAAATTTTTTTTAAAATATCAATTTGAGAAATTTATATGTATGTTCAACAACATTTCGGAGTTATCTGAGGCACAAGCTCAGAACAGCAACAACTTCCTGCCATCTTACATTATAATCATATTAGTTACTTTTTAAATGAGACTTTATGAAAATAGAATAATTATTGTGCATTAATGTTAAGGACTTGAATGTATAGTGTGATTGCGTGTTGTTTGGAGAGTATTTGGGTAGATGTTGCTATTAAATCTTTGATATTTTGTGACTTATTGTGCCAAAGGGGAAATGGCGCATTATTATTGTGTAGTGTTGTCTTTGAGTAATGACAGTTGATGATTTAGTTGTTTTAATAAAGACACTGTATTTTAATAATCAATGGTTTGTGAAGTTAATATAATTAACCCCTAGACAAAACGTAGCCATCGAACCTTTGGGTAGAAACGGTTGGTAACAATTTTTTTTAAAAATGTAATTATTATTCAAAGGTCAACATGTATAAAATAAAGTTTAAAATAAAACACATTTTATATTATATCAAACTTATTTAAATTGTTATTAATTTACTATGTCCTGCTGTTAATGTTTAACCTAACACTGTTGGCGTGCAAACCAGAAATTTTTTCTGAAACAGTTCTGACTATGGTATTTTTTTTATCATTTTAGAAAGCAGACAGTGCTTATACCAATGATTCTGAAAACTACTTAATGTGTACATTTTAGTGTCAAGTGTGAATCTCAGATCAATTAAATTTTTACTTACATGTTATCATTGAGTCTTGTGACCCATTCTTCCTCTTTAAGTTGTTTTCTGGCTTTTTCTAGAGAATAAAATTCAGTGGCAACACGAAGTGTAGGGCGGAAAGGTTTGTACCTCTGCTTTTGCACTTCATCTGGCTCACGGAATGGACCCTGAAATGTATTGTTTAAATAATCTATTATGTTCATTTATTTTCCTGCTAACATGCAGGGGGGGAGAAAAATAACAGGTTATCGCAATGACATTTATCGATTTAATCCTGGTTCTTAAGACAACAGCCAAGGAATGCCACTTTTGTCCATTGGTGGCTTGTTATAGCCTGTGTGTTGACCTAATTTTACTTTGATGCAAAAATGAGGTGACCACCATTCATCTTCACCTTTTTTTATTTTGATATTGACATCATTTAAATATGTCATTGTACCAACTGCCATCCCTCCCTTGATTGAGAATATGTTGTTTATGTTCAATGCATTCTAATATGTTCTAAAGAATGCTATCGGGTGATACAATTTCTAGAATTTCTTTTCTGTAGGGTTCTAATACTCGCCCTATTAATAAGCCAACAGCTTTCCCAATCGAGAGAGATTTTTGCCAATTTTCCTTGACATTCATGTGACGTAATATACTTAAAGGATTCTCTTTACAATATTGTACTCTTTGTGTATATAAAAATGTGTATCTTTTGAGGATTATGCATTTTTTGTTGCTATGCTGTAATTAAGTCCACTAAAAGAAAAACAATAACAAAGCTAGTGATAGTAATAATATTTAATTTAATTATAATACTGGTATTAAGTTTATCTAAAAAATACAAAATCAAATAAACACCAATAAAACTATATTAGTTTATTTGATTTTTTATTTTTTTATATAACCTTAATAGTATAATTCAATTAAATAGTGTTATTATCACTAGCTCTAATACCGTTTTTCTTTTTACACTGGTTTTGAACCAAATCTTATAACAGATTAAATTTACAAAACCATGTATGTAACATGGTTCTTCTCAGCACTGTTTGCAGAGTGTGGTCTATTCCACAAATATTTGTCTATTGGTCAGTGCCAGGTCTCTTCAGTTCTTTTGTGATTTTGTTATCCTGGTCAACCCATCTTTGAGCTGTCCTGGGAAGTGATTTTTTACAAACTTTACCAAGCCATCGCCATTGTTTATAAATCAATTCATCGATGCGGCTTTTTTAAAGCAACGGGTAGTGCTTCCACTGCAAGTTTTACAATCAATACAAACCTGAGGCTTCTTCACCAGCGGCGGAAGAGTTTTGGGGACTTGGGAATTGTATCTGGCACAGGTTGGATCAAAGTTGCAGTAGTCTATCTTTTTCTTCTGGTGGGCAAGAGGTTGAACATTCCGCAGTAGGAACTCAGTTTCTGTTGGGTAACTGTTGTAGAACAACAATATTAGCATTGGCGACAGAATGATTTTGTGGATGATCACAGAATTTCTCAATATTAACATGCTGCATTCAAGTCATGTTACAGGTGTACAAATCACGAAGTGAAGTAAAGCTTGCACTGGGATAAAGCTTAACAGTGAATTGATCTGCAAAGTTGGCGGGATATTTCCTTAATACTACTTAAAGTAGTGGTAGGTGACAAGACTATATAACAGGCCAAGACAACTATTGTGGTAATATAATTTCAAAATAAACATCACTTCGTAACATATTTTCTATCACATCTATTGTTCATTTCCACATACACTTCCCTTTTGTTCCCCATTGCTGGGTATTTTGGGACCTCTCTGGATACCAGTTGCTATTAAAAGCTTATTAAATTAACCAATAAAAGCAAAAAAGCAGTGTTTATGTTACAGTGAATATAAACCTCAAAGTTAAGTTGATAAATGTTTGTCAGTTACTCTCATTCCTTATCAAATTTTTAGTAGACTTACGGCAAAAATGGGGAATTGTAAATTCCGGGCTTCACGGCTGTGCTGACAAGGTAATGATGTTTTCTTGCCTCATACTCTTTTCGTTGTTTTTCACTCTTTTCTTCCTCTCTTTTCCTAGCAAGGGATTGATGTTCAGCAAACTCTGCTAATTCAGATCTGAAAGTGGACATGTTGCAATGGTTTAAATTAATGTAGAAAAAACTAAATGTCATCCAAACCCACATAGAAAAGATTAAATGAATTAAATTATATTGCTAGTAATTACCTGATGAGTTCATTTTTGACATGTAATGCTTCCAGATATCTTTTTCTGCTATGATAGTTGAATACATATTTCCTGGCATAGTATCCTCTCCACGTTTTTTGTACCTGGTAAAATAAAATATTGAAACAACTACTAGTTTGAAATGATCAATTTCTACTTTTTAATACATTTAAATTGTATGCTTTAAAAATGATTGAGTTAAAATATGTAATAAAAGTGATTTATTGTGCTTGGATGAAAGTAATCCAGAAATTTCAATTATGTTGATGAAGTGCTCAACCCATTGCTTTCTGGTAACATATTTTTTATATAATTTCAGTCCTGTATTAATTATATATTCATAGGGTAAAAACTTATAAACAGTTTATATAAACATATTTATTTATCAATCAGCATCTTTTGTTTTTAATTATTTTTTTTAAAAAGGAAGAAAAGTTCAAGGTGATCCTAGTTTTTGTGGTATTCTAATGTTTTAAAATTGTTTATAAATCAACTAAAATCAAACAATACTCTGCAAAATTCCACCTCATTTTCTTGACATAATGTATAGACTAAATTATTACCACATGAATAAATAAATAAAAAGATTTTGACTTATTCTTGGAGAACTTATCCCAAACAATTATTCAATATCCCAAACAATTATTCAAACACTTTCACTATCTTCTTCTTTTTTATTTAAAGCTTGAGAATACCTCATCAAATCACATAATAACCATGCACCACTCTACACAAAATTTCCCGTCATTGACATTCCTGTATCTATCAAAATCCTCACTGAAATGCATGTCATATTTCAAAATTAGAAATAGAAAACATAAGCAAAAAAACTTTACCCTGCATGCCATCTTGTTGTAATGATTTAGTTTCATAATAAACAGAGTATTCTGGAGAAAAAGATGAAATGGAGTTATCTTAAAAGCATCTCTTTTTAAAATTTTTAGCTGAGGCTAGTACAAACAATCCACAGATGGCCAAGGCTTAGCCAACACAAGAATTATTGTTATCCTTCAAATATCTCATAATCATCTTTCCTTAATTGTGAACAACCTTTAATAACATGTGAAAAACCACATTGTTTTTTTTACTCTCTTTTTCTAAAATGGGTATAAGCTAACAGAATTTTTTTTAAAATCATATTTTAACACATAAATTGGAATACAAATATAACCATGAAAACAAATGAATTTTAAGTATATATACCTAGTTTTTCTCTATTGGATAGTTCTTCAATAAATAATGTTAAACTATGACCATGTTTTGTGTTTTTTAACAAGATATAAAAATGTAATGATGCTATTCACAATAGTTATACTCTTAATAAAAACACATAATACCTTTAACAGAACCCTGCAAAACCTTCGACCTAAATAACCTCGCCATACTTTTTGTATTCTTGTGGCACATTTGTTTAAGTATCTGAAAGGATGAAATATGAATTTGAATGTTCAGACTCCAATACAAGACCACTTGCTCAAGTCTAAAACATGTATATGGAGCCCAAAACTCACAAAACTAATTTATCTGCACAAAAGCTGAAGCCAAAATATAATTATCAAATTATTTTACCATTGCTTTCAATCAGTTGTCTTCATAACAATATCTGGATTCATTATGAATTCTAAATATTAACTTAATGATTAAGCATCTGTCTTTAGTATACATTTTATAAAAGATGTAAGGTTGTAAGCAAACTGCTACATCAGTCTGCATTTTTTAAATAATTGAGAATGACACAGTCAGCATAATTGTGTGGAAATGTAATAAAATACTTAGTTACAATTTAAGATTATGAAATTTTTGTCTTGGCAAAGTTATTTATCTAATTAAGAAAGTTATATTTTAAAGTACTTCATTCAAAGTTATGTGTACCGGTAATACTGCAATATGTGAAATCAAGAAACCATTGTTAAAATAAGACACCATCATTAATGCTAACTCAATTAATACACTATAATACTGGCATTTACAAGAAATTAAAAGAAAACTTTTTTCATGTTCAAAAATGAACTACTAAATGAAATATATATGATTTCTGATTTTGTAAAGATTTTTTAATGTTAATAAAGGAATTCTTACTTCAAGTAAGCTCTAACACGTACAGCTCGAAACCAGGATTGGATCTTTACTGCTGCAGCAAATTCAATTTGGCGACTGTATTCAGCTTCACTGCAGTTACAAAAAAAATTTAAATTTGGCATGTCTCATTGTTGTTTTTTATACCCATTTTACAAAAACATAAATTGTTGATATATTCAGTAATTAATGTGAACTCTTTAACACCATTCCTAAACCTCATAACCTTGTAGCATTTAATTGTACTTTTGAAATATTTAATAGTTTAACAAAGTTTACTCATTTTTTCATTATTTACTTAATCATAATCAAAAGATTCATACACATTCAAAAATAGTCACAGGATGATTTGACTAAAGAAGTAAATACTTTGTAAAATTTACATATTTTTCTTTCTCATCCATAAAACATGTACGCTTATATGGCACAAATAAATCTTTGACACTTCAATTTCTTGTCCTAAAATAAATCTACAGATTCTAAATTTTAAAGAAGTTTTTGAAAATTTGAAATAAACTCAAAATAAATATGCTTTGAAAATTAAAAAACTCAGTTTTTGATGTTTTGATTGAAACAAAATTCACTAAGGATAAGCAGAATAAGTTCATTTTTTGTGATAAAAGAACAAATCAAAATTAATCGATAGTCGCCTTTGAGCTTTGAATGTTTTGATCTTAACTAAAAACACTAAGATTCTCATTCAAATAGTTAATTTCCTATTTGCTAAGGAAAACAAATAATTTAGTATAATTTAATAAAACTATGCATATAATTATAATATTTTAATTTAATGATATGATCTTCAGAAATTTTTTAACTTTTGAATGAATTAACATTAAAATACACTGTTATTCACTTATTAAATTATTTTAGTTGGTTACTTTGCATTAGACAGTATTAAAATATTACAGTGACAAGTAGCAAGTCAAACTCCAACCAGCAAGATAAATATAATGTTAAGTTAACAACAGGAAATAGGACTAGCTATCTGAGGTCCATATCAATTTCTTTTTTCACTGTAGTTATTTATCTTGACTGGACACTAATCCATGCCTCTGTTCAATTGTCCTGACTCAAAGAGAAACGTAAACCAAAAGGAAGGTTACCCGCATTATTTGATTGCTAGACTTCTGTTTCACACCATTCTCATTCTAAAAGTCCCCACAATACTGTAGGTGTAGACTATACTATCTAAAAGATTATCTACTTAATACTTAACATCCAAACTTTTTAAATTTATATTTATAATATGGCATGGACTACCTAGTCAGGCAGTGTTAATTTTTATTAATAGTAGTAGCACTACCAAAAAATGGATCTCTAGCTTCCTCAACAACTGATGCCAGGCAGTTGTGGATGGTACAAGCTCCTCCTTTGTAGTTGTTAAGTCAGGGGTCACCCAGGGCTCAGTGCTAGACTAGGCCCATGTTAGTTCCTCATCATCATCATGTTCCTTAGTTCTTGGACCATTGGGGCGCCACAGATGACATGAAAACTATCGTTCTCCATTCCTCTGTTTTCTGCACTTTGCACAGCATCACCTAGTTTTAGTCCCATGCACTCTTTGATGTTATCTTCCCATCTTTTTCTCTGTCTTCCTCTTCTACCCCCCTCTGGCATGATTTTTTTGGCGAGCCCTTGTTTTCTTGCTACGTGGCCATACCATTCCAGTTTGCACATTGTCATCTTTACAGTCACCAGGAGGTCATCATACTGCCCCATTGGTTGACGAATCCTTTCTTGTTCATTAGAGATATGGTCTCTATAGCAAATTCCAAGAATGCTTCTGAATCATCTCATCTCCTTTGCCTTCATTTTTCTTTCAAGTTCTGCTGTTAGTATTTGTTCCTAGCATACATCAATGATCTACCCGAGAAACTGACCTCCCAAGCAAGGCTGTTCACAGATGACACGGCAATGTATAGGACGATTACCAACAGTGCTGACCAGGATCTCCATAAGTTAGATGAGTGGGAGTTGAGCTGGGACATGGAATTTCATCCTGCCAAGTGCTAGACACTGTCAGTCTCCAGAAGTAGTGCCCCTCTACACCACCCTTTTGAGCTGCATGGCCATATGCTTGAGCCAGTTTCCTCCATAGTAGCAAAAACTCAATGCAGGAAATGCTCATTCCTGCCAAGGACAATCAGGGACTGGAACAAGCTTCCGAAAGGAACAGCTGAGACGGCGACACATTTGCGTCTATTGCCTCAGGGCTTCCAACCTCCAGTTCCTGACACCCTCGCTGAGTAGCCCTTGCAACCAGAGAAATATCCTTTTCAATACCAGGCACAGAAATATCGCGAATCCCCTCTACATAAATAGAAGTAAAGTTTACTAAGGTAGCAGTTTTAGTCAGCAGAAAATGTAGTGTAGTACTATACTAGTAAGTAATCACCGACTCTGGACGTTAGTCTTAGTTTTTTTTTTTTTTTTAGTCTTTTAGAACTGGGCATTCTTATTTCTTTTTAGAGAAATACTGAATTAAAATTATATTCAGTTTTAGAACTTAAAATAACTATTTAAATTTTTAATAACTTCTATTATTGTTAAAGTTTTAGTCAGCAGAAAATGTAGTGTAGTACTATACTAGTAAGTAATCACCGACTCTGGACGTTAGTCTTAGTTTTTTTTTTTTTTTTTTAGTCTTTTAGAACTGGGCATTCTTATTTCTTCTTAGAGAAATACTGAATTAAAATTATATTCAGTATTAGAACTTAAAATAACTATTTACATTGTTAATAACTTCTATTATTGTTAAAGTTATTCGATTTATTACGCTAATCATACTTTTTTTTGTCATAAACACCTGATATTAATGTGTTTATTTCGCCTCCTAAGCGAATCATCGCCGCCATCTTGTTTACATGTCACTATGGCTCAGCCTCATAAGAACTTCCGGAGTGTCCTAGCAACAGCTTTCAAAATGGTTCTCTCCAGCTAACAATCAAAATAATCAAAGAAGTAAACTTTTCACCCAAGAAGGCATATTTATGCAAGGCGTATTTACCGTTAAATTGTTTAATTTAATTTTAGGCTGATATAAACCAAAATGACTATGTTTATGCCTCCCATTCAAAGGAAAAAGAAAGTTGAAGAAAAATATAAGTATGTAAAATGTAAATGTATTACTGGTATTAGTATTCAGTATTCAGTATTCAGAATTCATATATTTATATTCGTCTAGTCTAAAAAGTCAAATCTAGTCCTAGGTTTTGCTAAAAGTATTAGTAGTGTACAGTAGTAGATTAGTATTATATGTTATAAGTAGTATATAAGTAATTCACCCATTTTTAGATTTAAAAAATATGAATGAAATGTTTTTCATGATAACTGTCATAAAGTAAAGTAGAGTATCTCTTTTACTACACTTACTCTTACTCTTAGATTTAGATGACTTCCCTTATTCTTAACTTAGACCTAGTACTTAATGTGTTATTCCCGAATTTTATATCCACTTCATTCATAAAAAACACTTCACTTGTGTAACTTGGAGATTATCCCCTTTTGTTACAAGTCCAAGTACTACACTTACACCGTACAAGTTATAGAGAAATGACTATGACTGTACTAGTACTCATTACTAGGATAATAAAATAAAGGAAAACATTATAAAAACAAGATTTAAAATGGAGTAAATGATTGTTAAGTGCAATGTAAATATCTATTATACTAATACTTAAATTATTAATTTTTGGGCACCAAATTTGGGATTTTCTAAGGCCTAACTGTATGACCCCGTTTGCCAGTTATCATTGGCATCAATTTTTTTAACAATTCCATTGAGAATTTTTTCATTCCATACTTTTTTTTAAAGCATAGTTTTAGTAGTCATTTGTCTAGATATCCGTTATTTTAAAAAAAAATTTAATTTTAAAACCAGAATTATATTTATATAAAAACTTAAAACTGTAAAGATTAATTTAAATATAAAGATGGAGACAAGAAAATAATGAAGTAGGGAGGTCATGCTTTTAGAAATTAAGGACAATATTACAGTTTAAAAAGTCACTCAAAAAATAAATTTGATATATATTGCACAAGATTTCTCAAGGCAGTCCAAAATTTTTTGTGCTACCCTATATATAAATAATTATAAAAAGTGTTGGACTGCGATAAAACTGTAAAATAGATTAAATAGACACCAACAATTTGTGTCAATATAACAATATAAGGAAAGCTTTAACAATAATTTTACAGAATACAAAAACATACGTTTCGGCACATGGCTTCATCAGTACACCAAATAGACAAATAAGTATAAATTAAATTTAAATAATATATATATATACAGATCCTACCTAAAAAGGGGAGAAATATAGGAGTGGGCGAAAAAATCAGGCAGAAACAAAGTAAAGAAAAGTGGAAAGGAAGTGATTTGAACCATATTGTAAAAACCAAACAGGAACAAGACATGGCAGCTAGGTATAATTGTGGATTTGTTTTATTCCATATGGAGACAATGTACCAAATAGTGTTATTAATTTATTCTCCATATAAATTCTATCTGTTATGTTATTAGTATATAATATACCAGTAACTGTGATGTCTGAGGTTAGGGCTATTGAAATGTTTGGAGACCGGACAGAGAGCTTGTTTATTTATGTTATAGAGGTGTTCTCTGAATCGGTCTCCAAGGCGACGACCTGTCTCTCCTATGTATGCTTTACCGCACTTTTTGCAAATGATGGTGTAAATGATGTTGCTAAAGCCATCTTTTATTCTGAATATTTCAAAAGGGAAAGTAATCCTATCAACTTCAATTACATTGGGACATGTGTTGCTACTGTTGCAACTTTTGGTGCCTTTATGAGCTTGATAGCAGGGAGGTGGCTTCTAACTAGCATGTCCCTAAGGCTCTTGTCCCTCGGGAAAGCGGAAAGAGGAGGTTTTCTGAAAACCTCATTGGTGACCAGGTCTGCCATAAGTCAAGTGCCCCCCCCCCTAACCGATCAAAAATATGTACAATTTTAAAAAAAATATTTTATTTAACAAACTACCAAATAGTAATTTTGAAGCAATTTTATAAAGAATATTAGCTAGTGTCATTAACTGATTACAATTAAAGGAATAAATGAAATATTACTACGCTCGATATATTTTATATTCCGCATATTTCAGGCCAATGTTCTTAGAAGGTTACGTTTTTCTATTATAAATATCGCTATGTTTAGAAAATTTGCCACACCCAATTATGAGCTGAAGATTTGCTTCCTGTTATTCGCATTTATCTTTATTTTTTATTTAATTATTTTTTGCCAGCTCACAAGTTTAAACACTTTTATAATACTGTATTAAACTACATTTGCTTCAGTTTTAAGGTAATTTTAAAAGGGTTCTCACTAAGTATCAAACGTGAGCAATCTTTTCATGTTTTCAAACTATATGTTAAAATAAAAGCATGGCTTTTTAAGTAGGGAATTGTGTTAATTATAAATTGAATGATGGCATCATGCTTTAAAAAATTTTGTTACTTTATTATCAGTGTTTCTTTCAGCTATCTCTCTGGGAGGGAACTGCCATGCCCCCCCCCAACCCCCAAGCAGGAGTACAATGTGTACAACAATATAAAAAAATATACTTATTAAAAATGACAAAATTGTCATTTTTAAGCTGTTTTAGAAAGCATAGTAACTGGTGTCTTTAACCGATTACAATTAGTGGAATTTACAAAATATTGCTAGGCTCGATATATTTGATGCCGCCAATGTTTAAGGCTAATCAAGTTGTAGTGTTCGGTTATAAATATCGTACTGACAGCTCCTGTCTTACTTTTGTTTACTCCTGTTGGCATATATCGCTATTTTTATTTATTTATTTTTTGCAACTTCACAAGTGTAAAGACTTTAATGACACCATATTAAAATACATTTACATATTGATAAAGTTCTACAATTTTTATAATAGTTAGTCAAGTATCAAACATGTGCAATCTGTTTTCAAATTATAGTTATTCATAAAAGCATGACTATTAAAATAGGGATAGGTGTTAATTATAGATTGTATGATGGCATCATGCTTTTTTTTTCTAATTAAGAATTTAAAGGTCACCACTAAATAGTGCACATTTTATCAGTTATTATTAAATCAAAAGGTCTTTTATTTTCTTTAAATGCATTACTTTTGTTTCATAGTTTCCTGAATAACAGATTTGTATAAAAGAATACTTAGCCTATATTTATTATTATTAACTTCTAAACTACTTTTATCTTTTTAATATCAGATTAATAAACAAACTGCCCCATCCATTTGGATCGCACTCATTTTTTATATCATTAATTTTATTTTAGACTAGCCAATATACCCGGCATTGCACGGGATTGCATTAGGACCCCATCCTTGTGTGACCCCATTCCGATTGGAACCCTAATCCCATTCTGACACCGATCCCGTCGCAGTCCCGTCTCCCGGTTTTATCCCAATCCCGGTGGATCTATTCAAGTTTGGGATCCCAATCCAGGTGGGATCCCGATCCAGGTGGAATCCCATTTTCTGGTGGGATCCTGATACCTTTGGGATAAAGATTATGATGGGATCCCAACCCTTTTGGGATCCCGTATCAAAAAATTACTCAATAATCTAGATTAAATTTAATAACCTGCTCAAAATGTGTAAAAACTACTTTTCTAATTATATTTTAAATACCATAAAAATCTTCAACAAATGCCATAATTATACTCCTTTTTCTTTTAAAGTTAATCACGGGGCCCTGGGGGGGTCCATTCCATAACTGTACCGATTTAGTTATGCCTGAGATAGGGGCCCTACAAATATCAGACGGATAAATAATAGAGTTAAATTTAAAATTGGTTCCATTAAAATCTACTAAAAATTGCCATAGATATAGCTTTTTTAAAATGATCGAAACTTTCTGGAAAATTCTAGAATGGATATTATTCGTTTTAAACCCACCGATATATCAATACAGACAATGAAGGGTATTGCTACAACGCTAGGCGTATATCCATCAATTCGTATAGAAACTTTAGTGTTGTCTAAGCCTAATGATATTCATATTCATATAGCTTAGATAAGGAAAAATGAACTGGGCCCCCCGGCCCCAGAGAAATGGATACTATGAGTTCAGTACCCTTCAGTATTTGAATTTGGATCATAAAGTTTATGTGTACAAGTTTGGTCAAGATCCATCCACTCATGTAGGAGTATTTGTTTCTAATTATTTTTTATATAGCTCATATAAGGAAAAAAACGAATTCGGGGCACCCGGCCCCAAACGGAATGTTATAAAAAGTTCATAACCCCTTAAGATTTCCTTTTGGATAATGATGGATATATGTGCCAAGTTTAGTCAAGATCCATTAATCCCTGTAAAAGCCTTTGTGGAACAAACAAATCCCGCCACAAATAAACATTCACTTTTATATATATATATATATATGATATGATGAGAGTCCAGTAGAAAGCTAAGAAAAAAGTTTTTGTGAACTAGCACTTCGCTTATCATGCCAATTCCATTTTTTGGTACGTGTTTTAAAAAAAAATATTTTTCCTAATTCATCAGTTAAAAATAGATTCTGTGGATTTAGTTTAAAATATTTTAAAGTATAGCGAATGGGCAATTTAAGAAATTTATAGCAGTTTGAAATTCCAAATAAAAATTCCAATCTACTGAATATTGGAAATTTATACTTTATTTGCATACGATTTTCCTTAGATAAATTCACACATTAATAAATATTATGTCTTTTGTAAACAACTGATGTCTTCTTAAAATATTTATGCCGTTCATATACAATTTATAAAAATGACCAGTTTTCAAAACCCATACAAATGTATAGACCTTTCTAATTAACCTTTTTTTTTCTTTTTGACTCTGGTAAAATTAGGAAATATTTAGAAAAATTAGTCTAAGCATTATAATTATAAGTAAGTTTTTTTTTCCATTAGCGTTAAGCACATAAAATAATGTTTTCAGTGGTTTTTAGTGATGGAACCCTTTTTAAATATTATTTTTAAAATTAATTTATTAATAAAGTAGTTATCCGCGAAAATAATGTAAATAAAAAATAAAAGCCACATTACAATTTTTACTAATGTTAATTTTTTTTGTGTGCACAACACAGGCAGGTCAAAGTACTTTTCGGCCCCCCCCCCCCCCCAACCCTGCAATGAAAGATGATAAGTATGAAAAGTTTTCACATCACATCTTTAAACCCCTCAAAATATCCGAGGCACCCTGCAGTTGTAGGGGTTGCTAGTTCTAAGGTTAGGTGACACCTTCACTTCTTAACTAGGATCTCTTCCATTCCTCTCCAATTAAATGTAGACTGTTGCAAAACTAAATTAAGATGTGATAAAATGCATTCTTATATTTTAAATGGATCAAAACTTTTCTGGAGACTATAATGATTTAAGGGGCGAGAATGATCTGGGGCAAAAGCTTACCCTCAGGAGTGACACAACTAGAGAGAATTTAGTTTACGTCCCACTGGTGCGGAATTTAAGATATCTTTAGTCATTTTGATGGCAAATTTTTGCGCTTCCCTCCCAAAAGTTTGAAATGCCACCTAAAAATTGTCTGTAATATACAACAAATTCAAGTATGCGCCAAAAAAATGCACCCTTGCATTTTGAGTTTGCCGACTGTCTTTAGCACCCTAAATTTATGCATCCATTCCCTTACGCTGATCAATGTTACAGTATGGGGTTGATTATAAGCTTGTGCCAAATGATTACCCTGGAGCACGCCAAGAATGGAGTGAAGTCAGTTTATGTATGACAATGGGCGCCAAGACGCCTCCCACAAAACCTTAAAAATGTTCCTCCCTGTTCAAAAAGTATAATAGAAACATTGAATTCGGGTATACTTAAAAATACACCTATTGGTTTCAACCTCTCCACCAATCAAGATTCACCGGCACCCTAGATTTCTGCCCAGTTCCCGATGATAATGATCGCCGAGTTTTGTATCGATAGATACACTGCTTAGTGGCGTAGCTACTATTAGGGCTGCCATGAGCGGCCAAATAATTTTGCCATCCTCACTTTCACGATTAAAACTCTGCAGTTGTCAAAAAATACCACACAAGCATATTGTAAAGAAAAAGTGACACCTTTGTAGACCACTCCATCCGCCCTATTTCGACGCCACTAGCAGGGGTGTATCTACAGTGTTTGACGTTAGGAGACAAGATTCATTTCTACGCCCCCTCCCACCAACTCTGAAACCCATTATTTTCAGCCATTAAATATCATAAAAGTCGGTTCCCCCCCCTCCCCCAATACCCCACCAGTCTTCCGCCCTGGGTCGTACGTCCCATCTGCCACCCCTTAGCTATGCCACTGGCACTGCCCCCCCAAAAATCTGAAGTGCCCCCCCCCGGGTAAATTTCTGAAAGAAACACTTGTTTCTCTTGCTGTCCATTCAGATATTACATTACAGTTATTATGTGTTACTTTTATTTGATTCTGTTTTTACTGGTATTTGTTCACTGATGAAGGCTTCTTGCTAAAATGTTCATTGTTTTGTTGCATTCTTTTTTTTCCAGGTTTTCCCATACTTTGTTTTGCTTGTTTCCTTCATTTCAGGATCAGTCTCATAAGGCATTTGATTAAGTATCAATAGCTACTCCATCATCTCGTGTAGACAGAAGTATGCCATATGTATATATTATTATATTATATTATATATATATATATATATTTTTTAATATTTTTTTTTTCTGTAGATTTTGATTCAAAAACAAATTATTATTTTCCACTTAAGTCCAGATACATTTCGAGTCATAAGTGATAATGCTGAATCTGATCACACAAAGTACAGAGCTCTTCCTTATAGAGCATCTTTTGAGCCCCATTCTCCATTACAAAACTCCACACAATTCAACAGCTGGGGAAGAAATGATATCTCACTTCCTTTAAGATCAACTCGAGTCCTGCCTCAGCCTTTACCAGACTATCGCAGACACAACCCTCAATCTAGATCTTGTGGATTTCTTGACAAAAATGTCAGGCTCCTATGTGAACCTGTTTGTAATGTAAGAAACCTCTGGAATCTTTATTATACAATTTTTTTTTAAAATTATAAAGAACGTCTTCTGAAAATAAGCTGAGCACTATTTAAGTATTTACTCAATGAATTTGATTTGAAATTTGTTTTCTAACAATAAGGAAAGATTTTTATTTACATTTTTTGGTTGCATGAATATTTTAAATCACATTCTCTTTTGCCTGGTGTGCCCTATCAAAGCATGTAGTTGGTGTATTAAGTGTGTTATGTTATTTGCAGGTGCATACAACTGAAGTGCAATATGAGGAAGGAAAATGGTGGCCTGCACGAGCTAATCCTGGAAACCTGATTGTCCCCCCTTATGCAGAGGATACACAATACAGAATTGATTACAATTATAGACGTGGAGAAAACCCAAAGGGCTGTGGAAGACATACTGCAAATATTAACCGGGAACCAGCTTTAGGGGCTAGTGAGTTCAATTACTATATTAGAATTCTAGCGGAATAGCAGTACTTCACTACAATTTTTGAGTCAATTATTAATATAATAGTACCTGGTATGTAGTTTTATTGAAGTTTTCTTTCCATGAATCGGTAAGATTAAAAGTCTGAAGCTGAAATTTTCTTAAGAATGGCTTTAAAGTTGGGATGTAGCTGAGGGATGCCTATGCAGTAACAATCTTCTCCATGTCAGGATATTAAGAGGGTACTGGGGAGCATCATAAGCACAATGAGATTCCCCGATCTGCATCAACTTATTGTCTCTGCTTTAACGCATCAATGACCCTATGTCCAACTGCAGGTATTTTTTCTGCATGAATCACAACATTAAACTCCTGTCCTTCCGGAACGTTTTCTGTTATTGTTTTAAAGTCTTTACAGTATGGATTGTACTCATGCAACATTTTTTAAAGTTTATGACTTTAAATTACTGGACTTTACAACAGGAAAGAGGTTAGAAAAAAATTGTATACCTCTTTTTCATCACTGCCAACAAAATCTATTTGTAAACATGAGGGATTTTTTTGGCAACACTTCCTCTGTGATAAACTTTACTTAGAACTTGAACCTTAAAAGTGGGCATAAAGTTTCCTTTGTACATTCCCTGAACTTCGAAAGGTGTGAACTGAAAACATCCAATATATTTTATGTTTGTCAAAAAAGTAATGCTGAGATTCTGTCATTCATGAATTTCACTCCAGCAACTTTAAAATTCTACCATTGAGCTTTGTTTATTGTCATGGCGAAGCAGATTTGTCAGGAAATTTCAATCACTCTAACTGTAAGAGATGGAGGGAATCATGGAAATTCCGGTTTTTAAAAACTGTTTATCCCGCACCACAGCTTGTGGAGATGGTTGCTTCAATGGCATTTTTATGTAAGGTTTGAACCTGCAGCCTTGAGCCATTACAAAATTTAGTGGGGTGTTTATCAGATTTCGCAGCAACATGAGTGCGATTTTTCAGACAAAAATTATGTGGTGAAATCCTTAAAGTGTGAATAACCTCTACTGGATTGTGAATCACATCCTCTATCCCAACCACAGAGTCCACAGCTGATATCTCACCATCTCAGTATGAAGTTGTCAAATAGAGTAATTTATGCTTTTTGTTATGTTGTTTTGAGGTGTATGCCATATCAAATTATCTGTGAGTAAATTTCTCAAATATGAAGACCTGAATATCTTTTCACCCATTGTCTTTAGATCTTTAAAAACTTCACTGAGATTACCCGGAATGTATCCCTTGTCGTTACCTTTGTTGAAATGCCCATATATGATTTGGAGATGGAAGTTTGAGAACGCCTCTGTCTTTAGATCACTTTTGAGATGAACCCTCATTTTAACTTGCAAGGATCAGACTTAGAATTTAGACCATAGGTGGGATGACTTAAATAGGTTTTAACTTTATCATTATCAGCACGCATTCCTCAAGAAAGGTGATAGTGTCTGCCTAAGGTCATCCAACAGTATCATAATAATCACACCCATAAGGCATTTACTTCTTAATATGTCCGGAAGGATTCTGTCCAAAGCTCTATTTTGAGCCATGGTGCCCTCATATTAAAAATCCATATTGTACTCCCAAAGTTTCTGAGCTGTATTACACTATTTTGAAATGTTGCACAAAGTAGTCTCAGAGTGATTTAAGGTGAGAGGCAAATTGAAGGCAGAGTTAGCTGTCTTTCCGCCATTCAGAAATCAATATTTTCTATCCATTTCTTGTGCTATGAAGCAAAAGATTAGTTACTGCGAACCATTCATTGAAAATAAATTATGGTCAAATCTCACGTTTTTCAACAAAAATCACTTGATAGAAACCCATAGCCAGTTCGCTGTGTCCTTTCTAATTATTCTTATTTCATTTAAGTTTGAGTGTATCATCTTTCATGTTACCAAGTTTTAAGAATGTCTAAAATTGCTTAACTAATTAATTTCTATTTTCACTGTCAGGGGTATTTTTAAGAACTCTTGATTTTTCTATGACCATGACCATTTCAGCAATTATGTTGTCACCCTTTTCCTCCTTACAATAGTCTCACTTAAGTGTGAATTAATTAACATTTGTAAGACTTATTATCGGTATTTGATAATTAGCATGCACACCTTTAAAAATTTCAAATACCTACAATTAAAATGAAAATGAAAGCAATAAAATTCTAATTTTGAAATAACATGACCAACTAATACCTATTATCTTTTTCAAATTCAACAGAATGATCAAACATAATTCAAATATAATAGTTTCTACATTTAATGGTGAAATTTAAACCTTAGAGATGTGGTTTAAGAACTTAAAATACTAGAAATAACCATGGAAAACATGGAGGGCTCCCCTTAGCCCAGACCACTACCATACTTTCTCTCTGGAGCCTTCAAGACTATCGCTTTCTGTTCCCCTACCCACACATCCCTCCCCACACCTCCCCTTTCAAATTTTACTAGAAATTAACAAATCATTATTATTTTTATTTTATATTTTTTTTACATAGAAAATGCAAAAACATTTCTAAATTTTCTTAGTACCTGTCAATCTTCTGAAAGAAAGAGATGGGTCTCAAAGACTCTACAAGGAAGGTTTATCCTTTGAACACCAGTATAACAGCCGAAAGGATCCTAATTATCCTATTCGAGGAAAGGTATAACTTGATGTTTTATTTGTTTTTGAAAAAGTAGTGGTTCGGTAATACATTTAAATATGTCAAAGTCTCTTATTTCAATGCATGATGTCCTTACAATACAACGAATAAGATTTAATAAGCCATTAAAGTATACAGCAGGTTTATCAATTAACAATGAAAAGAGAAATTTAAAAAAAAAATAAGGACAAGTCTTTTAAAATTTCATAAATTTTTGTCTTATTTTTAAAAAATAACTTTTTTCTCACAGCGTCATGGAGCTTTTGTATGGGACCGCATGGATCCTCTGAGCCAGAAGAAGTTTATAGATTATTATAGAAGATTAGAAGAAGAGGAAAGAAGGGCCCAGGAAGCTGGTGAAGAGGGTCCATTAAAAACTTGCAGTGCTCCAGTTATTAGAAGTTCAAATCATAAAGATTTTACTCCAAAGAAGAAACCGGTGTATGTTTTCAAGAGACGAGGCAGCAACATTCTGAAATGGGAGGACTGTCAAAATGCTGTACCTTCTACACCACATACAAATGTATCTGTTGAAAACAAACGAAAAGATCAGAAAGTCACTCACAGTTTAGATAAACTTACTGCGAGTAATCTTCCAGATTTCATTGAACATAATACTACTGATACCAAAGAGACAAAACCAGAATATAGTCAAGATTTAACTGAATGAATAAAATGTGGAAATATTTTAAGCACCATAAAACATGATGTTTTAAGCCTTTATATAAATACCTGTTAAAATATTCAAATTTTAAGGAATTTAATCATTCAAATTCAGCATAACTTTACACAAAAAAAATCATCATTCTAAATTACATGTACTTGTAAATTGTCACTATATAATTAAGGAAACATTTGGTGGTCACCAGAAATAAGAAATGTTTCACTGGTCAAGATTACCTAGCAGGTGGGAGTTTAATTAAATTCACCCATACCATGCAACTAAGTAAATGGTTCATTAACTACTTACCAGTGCTCAATGTTATATCTAATAGAATTATGCTCATAAATTCTTGCTACACAGATATATATCCCTCATAAATTATAGTTTACTTGTCAAATATCTAAAATATTGAAGATAATCATAAATGAGCTTTATTTGTTGATAATGGAATGTGATAATGTTATAAAAGCACAACAGTTCTGTTTGTGTGAAAGCAACTAAAGTATTAGTATTTGCAACAGTATGTACTTTCAAAGGATCTATCATCTATATTTTCAAATGTCTTTCATAAGATTGTGCCATGTCTTTCTGAAATTAGATTTTTTTCCCAAGAGTTATGTATCTCTTTTAAGTAATTATTTTATTTTTAAGGCTTAGGTAAAGTAGTGTTTATTTTAATAGAATTATTCAAATTCAAGTTTCATATATATTGCGTTTATATATTTTGATCAATATATTTACGAAATATTAAAATTTTAAAAAGTACATTTCAATAAACTATCGCCTATATAAAAAGATAAAATCCCCTTCCCGTTAATTCTGTATTTGTTTCAGATAAACTAATAATTTGTTGACATTATCATCTCCTCGTTTGTAGCTAGTTTTATTTTTTATTTCAATATTAATTTCTAAAAAAAATGTATATTTATTTCAGTCTTTATTACTATGTACCGTATTAGCTTTTTAATCTTCATGTTGATTAATATTTTGTCTGCGTAGAGATCTGATATAAATTAGTTAAATAGCCCAATAAAAATAGATTTACTTTTATAAATTATGAAAATACCATGTAGTATTACTTTATTTCTGTCATTGATAAGAACGCATTGGAAAAAACATAAGTTTGGAATGTTATTAGTTTTTCATTAAAACCAAGGTAAATAACCCTGTTTTGAGACAAACTTCCCCATCCACAGCAGTAGAGTGGTGCATATTATTTGAAGCATTCTATTAATATTCTTTATGTGAATTTGACCATGAAGCCGGCAAAATTGTGCCTTAGTATGAGAATTGAAAATTTATTTATTTAAAATCTCACAGCTGATAAATTCTCCATATCAGATCCATAGATACTTCACAGAAAATTGTTAATTTAAAAAATAGTGTATCATAACAAGCCATCTTGTATAAATGGCATACTTCTGCTTTCATGAGGTGATGGAGTAGCTATGGACACTTCGTGAGAATCTTGACTCCTGGTTAAATTTGAACTTCAGTAATGCTCCTTTTATTGCAAGGGCTTTGTTTCCCGCATCTTCTATCTGTTTGACTCCTTCATACACTGCTGTTGATTTCTATGTTGACTTCCTCTTGTGTTCCTTTTGATAATGTCCTAAAATCGCAGCTGCGTCCATCCAATAAGTCGTGCCCTACTACTAACCATCTATACTGTAGATCCTTTGGGATATGGCCTTCTTCATTCTCCTTACATGGCCTAACCAGCATAGATTCCTCTTGCTAAGAGTGGACAAAATGCTACACATTTTAGCATGATCTAAAACCTCTGTGGCGCTTTGTCCTGCTATTGACTTCGCAAAGTACAATGCAGACATCTTTGGTGGAAACTGTTGAGTTTCTACTCATGACTGGCATAAGTGGTCCACACTTCACTGCTGTATACGAGTGTACTGAACACACATGCCCAATAAATGCTTAGTTTTGTGCTTTCAGTTAGTTTAGGATTATTCTACACCTGCAAATTTAATTTAGTCATAGTAGCTGCTGCTTTTGCGATCCTGATGTTCGCCTTTTCGTCAATGGACAGTGAGCCAAAGATATTAGACCCAAGGTATGTGAAATTCTTAACTGCTGATAGATTATGGCTCTCAATAGTTGTTTAAGAGAGGATAGTGTTTCTTGCCGCATGGCATTTGCTTTCTGTAGACCAGCATTTCCGGGCGTGGAAAGCAAAATTACTGTGTTGCCAAAAGGAGAAAAAAAAAGTTGAAAATCTAGGTTGAATTATCGGGTCGTACTCATTAATAAGCCATCGGTAATTTGTTTTTTCTTTACATTTTTTAATGAGTAAATGTGTAAATATATGAAAACCTTGTGGAAATTCATGTTACCTGGGTCATGAAGAAGGAGTATAAAAATAACCAGGTCATGAAAGTTTGAGAAACGGTGCTGTAGACTTAGGGTCAGTCCCAGCTCTTTACTTGCATGGGAGATGCGATTAACTAACAAATTTAGATATTTTTCTGTGTGCAATATTAAGGTGCCATCATCAGCGAGCAGCAGTTCTTGAATTAGCCCTTTTTTACCTTGGTCTTTTCATGAAGGCAGGCCAAATTGAACAGCCTACCATCAGATCTGGTATGGATGTTATCTCTGTCTTCACAGTCCATGAGCGAATAGAAGAAGCATTGAGAAGAAAATGGAGAAAAAGGGTGGTGCAAGTACGCAGCCTTGTTTCACTCTGCAGCTGACTGGGAATGCCTCAGAGACTGCGCCAGTGAAGCGTTACTGTGCAGTGAATGTTTTCTTGAGATGACAGATTGCAAGCAACTGTGGGTATAACCCATTTTGTGCAAGATACTGAAAATGCCACTCTGGCTTACAAGTCTAATGCCTTGGTCAGATCAATAAAAGCAATGTTAAGAGTCCCAAGCTATTTACCCAAGCTATTTACAACACTTCTGCAACCTGTGTAACAAGAATATCATGTCCATAGTTGAACGGCCACATCGAATCCGCACTGGGACTCTGGGTAGATGCGTTAAGCCAGACCCTGCAGTTGCTTGAGCCAACAGAAATGATTATAAATTACAGGTATTTAAATCAGTATTTGGATTCCAACATGACAGTCTCAAAACAAAAACAAAAAAACATGATAGTAACAGAAGAAATATATTTCAATATTTATTTTACATATACAATTTTTTCCAGCCTTCAGCACTTTTATCACACTCTTTAAGAAATGTGAAACATTTGTTTACACAAACAGAACAAGAATATTTATACAATAATGTAGCATTGAGAATTATTTCTGTAATTTTACATTGGCCAACATGTAAAATTTAATTTTAATTACATGGCAAAATGCAATAAAATAACTCCTGAAATAACTTTTTGAAAAAGTCATGGCGCCTAAATTAATTTAATAGCATGTTTTAATGTCAATTTATTTGCATTATTATTAATTAATAGATTTTTCAAACCTGCACGAGGATATAGCAATCAATCAGTATTTTCAATATTTAAAATAAAAGTAACATGTTTGTGATTTGTGTTCACAAGTGCATAATTAAACTATTTGACCTTAAACTACACCAGTGGTCTGCAAATCGCAACTCGCGGCTCGCATGGGGCTCTTTAGCACACTGAGTGTGGCTCTGCCAGTCGGCCACAAATCAGTTTTGACTCCGTAAAACCTGGTTCTTGACTGGTTCTTGAAAAGAAATTTGTCTCAAAATTTTTTTAAAGGTCCTGCTGCTAATTTTTGGCTTTTTTGGCTAATGAGTTTGCCAACCACTGAATTAGACTAATCAATTTGATTTATTACACTGTTTACCAAAAAAAAAAAACAACTACTAATGCCACTTCCATTTAAAATTCAAGAGATAAAGAAAAATTATCATTACTATTTGCAATTCCATCTGCGCAACATTTCATCAGATGGACCTAATTAAATCATCTTATCATTAATTTCAAACTGTTTCAAGTCAGGTATGAATCTTTGCATTTTATGCTCTTTAAATAACATGCAGAAGGGGAACAACTACAAATTCTCATATCATACATTCAATGTTAAACTATAAACCCTTAACCATTCTAAAAATTAAAAAAAATACTACATACATCAGAAAATTAAATCATTAAAAAATGATTAAGTGAGAAAATAAGAGAAAAAAAATCAGTATATACAAATACATGAAGAAATGCTCGCAGCACTACCACCTTTTGATCGACTTTCATAAAAAAAAGTACTGGTAGAACTAGGTAGAATTTACCTGTAACAGGTACAGGAAAGCCTTTAGAGTAAACATGAAGCCCTTTCATCAACAGGTCAAACTGAGCATCCCAGAGATGTCTTACATTATTGGAATGTCTCATCCATTAGTCGCACCAAGGCAAGAAAGTGGGAGGGGTGGGAACACTGTACAAAGTATGAAGTGAGTACAATCATTAAAAAGAAGCCAGTTTTTGATTGGTTTCTACATGAAAACTACATCATAAAACAATAATTTTAAAAACATAGAATGTTATGAGAAAAAGAAACAAACTGCATCAAATTCTGTAATGCTAAAAGAACATTTTTTAAAGTTATTAATTATCATCATGGTGATTTTAGAGCGGAAAAAATCTTACTTGCATAACAAAATTGTTACATCCTGGTTTTGAGACATAAAAAGCCTATTATTCTTACAAGATAGCAGAAAAATTTTTTGAAAATTATTTTAAAATAGTCTGCTTTTCCGGGTGAAAATTTTAAACTAGGAGATGTATTGATTCATGTCATATCTGATGATTAAACATGGGAAGTTAAAGCTGAGCTCAGCAGAAAACAGCTGAATTATTTCCCTTTTAAAAACAAATGGTGTGATACTAAAAATTACATTAACCGTTATTTCAAACAGGCTTTGGTTCTATTTCAATTTTAAAACATTTATTTCTAAAACAAAATGAATGAGAGCAGACTAAAAGTAACTTAATGATAACACATAAGGAGATGTCATTATTAAAAAAACTTTAACAGAGGTTTTTTGTTTTTGTTTCTGAGCACAGCCTCAAACACTTGTGTTGGCCGCCAGCACGGTGGCTCCATGTATAGGCTACATGAACATATTTACAATGGCTCGAAAACAGTGGCAAAAATAGCCATCCTCCAGACAAAAATAGCCATCTTCTAAAGTCCAGTTCAGTTCTAATATCCTCCAACATCTTTACCACGTACATATTCAAAGCGGGATAAGGCAGAGCTTACACATAGTCCATTTTTTTTAGTTTTATTGCATTAAACACATTTTCATAAAATGTAATTCAGCTGGAAATAAAATTATATTGCTTCTTCTATTTAAATAAACTTCAAATAAATACTGCAGTAAAACTGTGACTCACTTTTCCCATTTAAAACCAATTGGCATAGCAGGTGTACATTAAGTCTGTGTCTTCTGTACAAACCCAAACAGAAAAATCTTATGAAATAGATAGTACAACATAATGTTCAAAGTTAATGCCAAAGTATATGGAATATTATTACATTGATTTTTTTTCATCCATTCAATAAATCATAAACTAAACAGACCAAAAAAAAAAAGAAAAGGAAAGCCTAAAAAATATCCCTTAAAAAAAAAAAAAAAAAGAAAAAAAAAAAAAAAAACCTTTTTAAAAAAAAAAAAAAAAAAAAAAAGATTTTTAAACTACTTTTCAAATCAAGGGCTTGAGATTTTAATCTTAGAGCAGCGTGGAAAAAGAACCAATGGTCACAACGTAAAAATTAAAGTTACAGAGCCATTACCTTCAGCATTTAGAAATACGGGACAACCATTGAAACTTGCCCCTTTTCCTCACCTCAAAATCCACCTAAGACAATAGTAAACAAAATTTAGAATCCACCGACCACTCCAAGTTACCCCTCCCATTGGATGCGACTGGCCATAACTAGTTAAAACTATCCAAAGGAATTTAGCACAATTTAAATGGAAATTTATTTAAGAACTAAAAAAAATATATGGTGTAAATTTTAATGTGTTAACCGCCAGTGGTTTTCAATTTGATGTGTATTTAGTAATTTACTTGAAACTCCTGTGCTTTTTCAAATAATTTATGAGGGACTGGATTTAAGGCATGTGAATTAAATAAATACTGGAACAAGATGTTTTTATAAATCTAAACATATCTTGTTACACTATTAATTTGCTTTTTTGGAATCAATTTCTCACCAATTCCAGCAGTTTTAAACTATCAATACTATTTCTTTATTGAATATTAATTATCTTTAAAAACATAAATGTTATTTTGGTCTGTGACAGTGACTGACCAAAATTTTAACTCGACCTTTTTTTGACTTGGTCATCCATGCAAGTTATCATGGGGAGGAATCCTAAATGATAAAAGTAGTAGCTTTAACAATAACAAATTATACTGAAATCTCAGTTTCTTAATGAACAACATTTTAACGCTTTGCAACACAATGACTTTCTGGCAAAAACTCTTTAAAAAGATTATAGTATGAGTGCAATTTTAAAAATGACCCATCTTAAAATATAAAAGATATTAATTAAACTTAATGCTAAAATAAGATTTGAGATTAATTTTTTTTTAATGAGCTACATTTCTAGTATACATTAATTTACAAGCAAAATTAACAAATCAAAATATCAAACTTTACTTTTTATCAAGTATCAAATGATATTTTCCAATCAAGTAATCAAATTAAACTTTTATATCAAGTAATAAATCAAACTTATGAACTTTTTTTAATTTGAAACTTAAAACCTCTACAAACCACTTGCAAAATAACAAATATAGAACAAAGATGTATAAAATTGACATGAACATTGACAAGCATTGCATGAATCTAACAAATGTATATTTATATATACAAATGTATTGCCGACTCAATTTATGACTATGATAATCTGATTATCACATCGGTTGATTCAAACCTCTTTTACATCATTAACTTAGCAGCAGAGATTAAAAATCTACACTCCAGAAATTTCAGTATGCGATACCACTTAATAAAACATGATGAAATCCTATTTGAAAAGAAACCAAAATTAATGTTGCTCTTATAAATAGTTGTTCTCAATCTTCTAAAACTATTAACAACTTTAATTCACTGAAATTATTTTTCCCGCTTTTTTTAAAAGGACATTTATAATATCCTCAAGTTCTTTTTTCCCATTAAGAAAAAAACAAAAAAACTAAGATTAATTAAGTGCAAAGTCTTTTCCTAATTGTAAAGATGAAGTCTCATATATTTTGTTCCAACAACATTTATTTATTGTTTAAATTAATGTGAATTAAAAATCTATCCCAAACAAAAAATGTATTACATTTCACTGTCTTCACACTTGCATTCTTGCTTTTTTTCATTTCAGTAACACATGACATATTTTCAACCAAACTACAAATGACAAACAGTACCCTTATTATTTACATGCATGGCATGTTGAGAGGGCAAAACAATATTTAGCGGATATTTACAAATAGTCTGAAAAATTATCAGACAGGCAAAAATAAGTTAGGAAATTATAAGGGAACTTTCTAAAAATGAATCATTTGCACAGCTTTAGCTAAAAAGTGATGATATTTTTTAACAGCCCAGAAAGTATCCTCATTTACTTGCATGGAAATAACTTGCATTTAACCCTGTGGTATGATGTTTCATTTAATCCCATGGTAGAATGGCAATGTCAGCCTGTGGGATTTATCCCATGGTAGAATGGCAATGTTAACTGTGGTTCACACAGGCTTTGGGTTTGTGGGAGAAAAAAAAAAAGGGGGGGGGGGGGGGGCGGCAGAGATTGGGGGGTGAGAAAAGAGGAATAAAGATCTTAGAAAGTTGTTCAGTTCATTACTTCATTACATTAGGTCCAAAGCAGGAACCAGCAATAAATTTATTTCATTATTCTACCTCTAAAATAAAGAAATAACAGATGCATGTAAAATGGTAACAGACCATTGGTCACTTCTTATACCGATGAAGCTGTTCTTTTTATATCTGGATATAAAGAACTGTTGCATTGCATATGGACATCAAGGAACCATGGGTGCTCTGAATATCAGGCAAATCCCACCACAGTGAGCTAAATTTGGTACTTTGCTCAGGATAGCCAACTTTTGAATTTATCTTTAATTCAAATATATGAAAATGTACCAGATCAATGAAAATTGTTCGAATACAGCCATTTAAGAGTCCAAATATCAGATGACAATGATGTAACAAGTTTTAGTCATGTCTGAAACATAACCTCATTAATTACTTTAGTAATCTGAAGTGACCTTTAATGAACCTGGTCATCTGAGCTGACTGTTATAAATTTAAGTATCATCTCTTGGAGTGGTGGCTCCAGCTCAGAAAACATTAGGTAATCATGCAACACATGTGGTATCTTGAGGTGCTCCATGGCAGAACGGCAATATCTATTCTCCTTGCCCAACTTGTGCACCACAACACGGCGACAACGATGGGACAGCAGGTTGGTTTTTACTGAGGAGCATATAACAAAGCACTACCAATTTAAGCAAATAAGAGTCTAGCAATATAAGATCACAAAAATAATTAATGCTTGAAACAATTTACAAAATTTTAAGCTATCAGTGAAAGTTCCCGTTTTTTTTCCCCTTTATTTTAAAAAAAAATCCTGAGTTTAAAATTTCCCTTTCAAAGAATAAAGAGAGTAAATTTTGAAAATTTAGGAGTGCAATATTTTAGTCCAATTAATAACAGCACAGAGTCTTAAAAATCTTGAAATAGTTTAATTTGAAATTAGTTCCTCCTGCATTGGATAGCACAATGTGCAACAATTGATTGCTCATTTTACCTGACTGCTTTTACTTTTCAACTTTTTCAAGGCTGAAACTTATTATTTTTCTGGGGCTTTTACAAATGTCTTTTAAGATAAAACATGAAGATACTGTTTATTGATTAATAAATACACTGTCGGTTGATATTGGGATGAATGGTAAAGAATAGTGTTCTGGGATGTGTTAAACTATAGCCCATGTCTTCACCTAATTTTTTACTTCAATGTAGAGCTAAAGTGTTCCACCACCTCTCTCTAATTTTTGGTTTGATTTTGACGTCACCGCTTAAATATGTAGGGCTATACCCAGCCCACCCTTCCCTTGATTGGGAAAAAGTTGTTTACGTTTTATTTTTTTCTAAAGAATGCTATCAGGTGGCGCAATTTCTAGAAATTATTTTCTGGATGTTTCTCAATTACTGCCCAAAAATATACGCTAGCAGCTTTCCTAGCCGAGAGAGATTTTGGCTAATTTTCCTAGACATTTACCAGACATAATAACTTACAAGATTTTACTCTTTATGTGGGTTCATAAAATAAATTAATATTTGTAGCTTTCAAGGATTGTACATTTTCATTTGCTGTGCTATAAGTTGATATATTTTTTATTTCTGTCTATTCGATTTTGTATTTTTATATACATATTTATATACAGTACAATTAATTTTAATATTGTTAATAACACTAGCTTTGGTATTGTTTCTCTTTGTATACTGGTTTTCTGTCTTTGTTACATATTGTTCAACACACAAGCCAAATCTTAGAACAGATTAAATTTTAGACATTTCCTTGTTAATTTAGAAAATTAACACAGAGGTTGACAGTAAAAAAAAAATAGTACAACTTCCACAGAATGTTACATATAATATACGAAAGAAATTGTTTTGAAATCTAAATTTTGGATGTATTTTTTTTTTTTTACATTTTGTTTTCTTCAGCAAATTAAAATTTTATTTACTATGGCTGGACTGAATATGCTATTAGTTTTTACCAAACAGTACATGCATTACTTTTTCCTATTCAGATGAATATTATGTTGCAACCAAGAACAAATTAAGATCCATATGTAGCATGATAAATATTTTTTTAACACAGAACGTAGACAACTTCCAGTTTAACTCATATGTTTCATTATTAATGTTTTGTTGTTTCTTGGAGGCTATATCCTTGGACTAAGCTTAATTTAATGCAGGATTAATTATATGCAGCCATACGGTTAGGTCAATCTTTGAATTTCATTACAGTGATGGTATGAAAGAGAGAATCTTAAATCAACCCAGTATTAAGGATGTTCATATGAATTTAATTATTCAATCACACCACCAACAAATGATAAGTTCTTGAGACAGCAGAAATTGTCTGGAGCAGAAAATGTTGCAGAAATTACTTTGAATTTTCATAAAAATCAGATTAGTTGTTGGTTGTATGAATAGTTTCAGTATTTTAACAACATATTTTTAACATTCTCAATGTCATATTAATATGTTTGTTCTTGATTACTTTATAATTTATGTTACAATACCTATAAAAATTGACAGCTTGTTCCACCTTAAAAATTTACCTTAAGAATTTACCAGACTATAAGCAACATTTTAAAATGAAACTTACTAGAAATATTCTGTAACACTTTGCGCTGACTAGGCTCAAACTGTGCAAGGATGTGACGAGGAAGGCTGGCATGGTCACTGATACACATTAGCAATGCCAGAACGGGGACAAGGTTCTCTTTACGATGAAACATGTGAAACATGAGGCCAAATAAGTTTGTAATTGCTGGACTGCCAGAGTTTTCTCCATTGATTGGGTCACTGAGATCAAACAATGAGTGAGACTCGGCCCCTGCCAAGAAAAGCTGCCAGATGTAAAAAATTTGGAAGTTGGGCTGCCTAGAGTTGCGTACAATCATTGCTGTAAGGTCACGTTCTAGGTCTTTCTGAAAGGCCAGGAGCATAGCAACGTTGCCAGTCACATTTTTATGGTAGACATTTGGAGATGATCCATGACGGAGCAGTAGCTGAAACAATGGAACATTATTTGTCCACAAGGCCACCAATAAAGGTGCAAGTTCATCATCAGTATCCATTGAATTGGGCGAGACACCATGTTTCAGCAAATATTCTGCCCCAGCTACAGGCCAGTCTGAGTCTACAAGACACAAAAGAGAGCAAGTTCTTGCAGGAACTAATGTACTGGTCAGGTGACCTAGTTCCAGCATAAGGTAGGCAGGAAGATTGGAGATGCGGGTGATGGTTAAATGTTCATGAAGGAGTCTAAGAATGGTGGTTTCTGGATGTTTGAGGGCTTTCACTAGTGGATGCATGTTATCAAAATCCCCCCGCTCAAACACAGACATATCAGTGTAAGGAATCAGTAGCTCCACACACCTGAAAGAGTCAAGAAAAATAGTTTGAAACATTTTTTAAAAAGGAGAATTATGAAAAGGGGTTGGAAGGACACAAAACAAAATAATGTTTAATAAATAAAATTTTAATAAGCTTTTATTATTATATTATAATAAGAATCTGAGCATTAAATTCATACTAGTACTAGCGCACAAACAAAATTTAACTAAAATAATAATTTTTTTTTTTATTATTTAAATCACAGCAGTTTTAAGTATTATCAAACAAGACCAAATAAAAATCTTAAAGATAATAATGATAAAATGCAGCTGTGAAATTTTTTTATTCTACATGCAACATACAAGACCTTTCTATATCTTAAACCTAAAATTTACTTAAAGGCCATACAAAAATAATATTGTTTTTGAAGCAAAAAATTAATTAAAAACAGTTTTTGTTTCCACTACCATACCAACATAACAGCTGTTATTATGAATATGCTGAATGCATCATAATAATTTTGAGATAAGTTATTTTTACTCCCTTTCAATATTGAAAGAGTGTTTAAAAACTTGACGTAATTTTTTAAATCTAAAAGTATTTTCTTCAAAATGTTTTGAACATGAAAATGGAACACCAAACAACAAACTGACCTTTGGTGACCATTACAAACAGCATACTGTAGAGCTACAGCATGGTCATCATCGGCAGGGATGTTAGCATCAGCCCCATAGTGAAGTAGAAACGCAACTATGGCGGCATGACCTTCCTGGGCAGCTATCAGCAGGGGTGTGGCATTGTCTGAAGCTGGTGCATTCACTATGTGCATGACACCTGCAAAACGAAAGGGCAAATGCTAAATAATTTCTGAACATCATTTCTGTCAGAATTCAAACATGTGCAGTTGATGGCATGTTTTCAGCAAATACATAATGCAATGGCATTATTCATGGTTTTTATTTTCATACATACCTCGATCTTTAGCAACTTTGATCAGAAGTTTCACACAGTCTATGTGACCTTTGTGAGCTGCTAGAAACAGTGGGGACAAGTTGTGATCAGCATACACATCCATTTCAGCTCCATGCTGCAATATTAAATTATATTTTTTAGTTTTACCGGTTCAAGCAGAAACACTCCCACATGATTTAAGTTGATTTCAAACACTTTACTACAAAAGCACAACTACAATCTCATTTTTATGAATGTTGATTTATTTATTAAAATAGTGTCACTAAGTTTACCTGCAGTAAGAGATTAACAAAGTTTGTGTAGCCTTTCTCAGCAGCAAGGTGCAGTGCTGAATACCCTGTGTAAATCCTAGCATTTACATCTGCATCCTTCTTTATAAGTGTACGAAAACATTGAAAGTTTCCAGAATTTACAGCTAGTTGATAGAAAAAGCAATAAGAAAGATTTAAAGTGTATTTTAGATTAAATTACTAGCAAAATTTCCCAATTCTAATTTATATCAGATATTTGTAGAAGTAGAAGCTTTGACTAGAAGTATTGTATTAGAAAAAAATATTTTAACATATAAATTAGGATTAATTTGCAAAAGATAATTCTAAGGGGTCATTAGCAAATTACATCACGCTCAAAAACAAAAAGGGGGGGGGGGGGGGGGGTTGGTTTTGTCGAAAAATTGTGACACTTTGAGACGGGTGGGGGTGGTGTAAAAAATTTGTGACGTCACACTATTTTTTTTTTAATATCTAAAATTTTCTAATTTTGAAAAATCTATATTCAATTAATTTTAAAAACAAATAATTTGAGGTCCAAATTGACTCAGGTATAACAAGTACCGTGAAAGTCACTCACACCTTCTGCACATATAAAAAAATGATGCAAAAAAAAAACTGTTGTGGCCATTTAACATTGGGCTAGGGCTTGTTTTACGTCACAATTTTCAAATAGAAGTACATCTTAATCCAGTATGATAAAATTTTAAAGAATAAAAATAAAATCTTAGTTTAGTTATGAAAATTTTATGTATGTTTTGAATTTTTTTAGGTGTATTTTGACACAAAGGGGGGGAATTATTTGTGACACTTTGTGACAGGGGGGTCTAAAAATGTTATTTTTGGCGTCACGTAATATGCGAACGACCTCTTATGGAGAATGATAACAAAAATTAGCCCAAGAAGTTTGCCTTGATGTAAATTATAAGATAACAACCTTCCCATAAAGGAAAGTAGCCTTCATTGGTAGCAAAGTCAACATCAGCCCTGGCATTGATGAGAGACACAAGAGCATCATGCTGACCCTGTCTGGCAGCCAGTATCAAAGGTGTTTCTTTGGCATGTGTAGTCCAATCTGGATCAACACCAGCTGTATCAATTATACAATCAGAGTAAATAAATTGTTATCTTATTTCATGAGCATTTTGTTGTTTCACTCAGATATTTTGTTCCTTCATCAAGTATTAAGTGTTAACTATGAAATGGCTCATATTTTGAAGTTGAATTTAAGGTAATTGCTTAAGGGACGGCAATTTAGCCGACAAGGTGTTACATTAAATTATTTGCATCTCGTATCATTCAGTGACAATGATAATTTATGATTTAAACATGCAATTATATTAAATATTTTCTCCTATTAACAATTTGAGCTCTTGTTAGAAATGGAATGTCAAATATTCCATATAAGTTGAAATTTTGTGAAAAGACCTTACGTTGTCGCAATAAGAACTCCAAACAGCCTGTGTTGCCAAAATAGGCTGCTTCATGTATTGGACTCCATCCTCTATTGTCAAATACATCTATGGGTCGGCCTGTTTAAGCACAATTGTAAGTAAGGCATATCTATCAATAATTATCTCTATTTTTCAATGATAAAATTTTTTTAAAATGAATTTTGGTGTCAGGAGTTACATTGTTGCAATGTGAATCTCATTCTTTGAGTATTTAGTATACTACAGTAAATTACGCTTTTTTAAAAGAATTATTTTATGAAATTGATTTCTTTTTTTGAAGTTAGTATACCTTACCTAAAAGGTGCAAGAAAAATATTTACTATAACATTTTGTAAGTAAAATTAAAATTCCTATAAAAATTATTTTAAGGATAAATTATTGTTGTCATTTTTTAAAATTTGTATGAATTACACTATGATTGAGCATACAAATTCATAGTATAAAACAGTCAATAGTTAAGACCTTTTATTTCATATTTCTAATTTTCTCTTTTAACCCTTACAGTGCTGACCTACTTTTTTGCTTGAATAGCCTCAGTCCCGGCTATTATTGTGCTAATTATTGCCTGTGGCCCAGAAATTATTTTGGAATGAGCCAAAATTTGATAGGATTGCAAATTATTTTGTACCTTTTTTGTTTTAAACAATTGATAATAACATGTAGGGAATTATCTGTTCAGAAATGGATAGGGTGTTAAAAAAACTAAAGTGTTTTGTTCAAACTTTTCTTTGGCAATGGCACACTAGGGGATTGTGCATAAGTCATCAACAATAGCGAAAGTGTAGCACCACAGAATCAAACAAATATAGATCTGCACAAAAAACTCAGTAATTTGGTCGATTTTAATAATTTAAAAGGCAAATTAAATCTGACTATTCCACTAACGAGTAAACATTCTGCCTGAGACTGTGGTGAAAGGTCATATCCCTGTTTCTGTGTTTAGATTAGATACCCATCCATGTGGCAAATAGACGTGCTTGGGCCACAAGGAAAACGATCGGCTGGTGAAAAATGACAAGCTTGGGTCACCGGGAAAAAGTAGGTCACTGCAAAAAGACGCGCCTGGTACTGTAAGGATTAATACACAAACTGACATCATATGAATCAAGATTTGTCAATATCCCTACAAACTTGAATTTACTCACCATGCCAGACCATTTCCTGGAGCCCCATAAGATCACCTAATCTTGCAGCAACCCCCACAGTGGCATACTTGTGGGGGTCTTGTTGTAGCTCTGTTTGCATGTGGAAACACAGCTCTGCATACAGTAGTCACTGAGAGTGACCTGTAGCTGAAACACCGAATGAAACATTTTAGTTACATTTATACTATAAACTGTAAAGGATATGCTGTTTATAGCAGCTAATCTTTGTTAACCCTCGAACTGTGGCATGCATCATTCTGTGGTGTGAAGCTTTTCAGAGCTTTTTGAGTGTCTTTTGAAACAGCATTAAATGACATAGAAAAATTGATGCAAGACCCCAATAAGTATATATTTTTAGAAACGTAAATGGATGGGAATAAAGTAGAGACCGACCGAAAGTGATTTTCTGATTTCGGCCGAAGCCGAAAATAGGCCGAAAGTTTAAAATGACTTTCCGCCGAAACCGAAAAAAGGCCGAAAGTTTAAAAATGACTTTCGGCCGAAACCGAAGAAAAGCCGAAAGTTAAAAATGAATTTCGGCCGAAACCGAAGCCGAAACCGAAAATGAAATATTAAGATATTTTGAAATTTTTTCCCGCCTACATTCTGCTTACATCGAAAATGATGTGGGAAAATATAAATATTTACATTCTTTTTATAAAAATGAGATAATCGTAAATATTAATAAATAAAAATCTAATTTAGGGTTCTCAAACTCGCGGCCAGCGAGCCATTTGTGACCCGCAAGACGATATTTTGCGG